GAAGACTACGAGTGGTGTATCGAGTGAAGATGACGAGCCGGAGGAAAAAGCGTGGTAAGGAGAGTTGGGAAGGTAAGTGGTTGATAGGTTCATAATTTTTCATTTGAGCAGAGTTGTTATTTTGGGGGAAAATTAAAGAGGTTTTGTTTTTTGTTGCAAAGACGGCAAGTGGGTTGAAGTTAACGAAAATCTGGCGACTCGGTTGTTTGGAACCGGCCATTTCCAGACCGGAGGCTGAATTGCTATTCGAGAGTTGTTTTAATTCTATTTGCGAGGGATGTTTTGATAGGGTCAGAAGAGTGGGACATTATGCTAGGATCGTGGTTGACATATTTGACATTCGAAACGCTGAACACGAGCCAGGGGTAAGAACTAAATCCTTTAGTTTTGTAATAAGATGTACACTGACAACAAGTATAGTGTACATGTGGACAACGAATAGTTGTACAAATTGTTTTTAATACATGTGCATTTGTAGTCTGTAACGTACACAAGATTAAGTATACATGTGGATGCGGAATTTTTTTTAATTTTTTTTAGTGTATGAAGTGCTTTGCTAACTGTGTGTTAACTTTGGCTTTGGTGTGATGACAGCTTATTGTACGGCCAATGATGGAGCTTACAATACCTGGTGTTGAAGACTGGATAGCTTGGGACGATGAAAGGGTGGATGCCAAAGTTGATTACGTACATGGTCAGACAATTGAAGGAAGGGAAGGTTTTCCGCAAGTCTGAGTTGGGTGGCAGTGACATAAGTGAGGACATTTATGTTCACGACAGTAAAAACATAAAAAGAAAAGAAAAAATAGCTACTGGTTGGGTGGAGAAGAAGAAAGGGAAGGCCCTGCTATGAAGCAATGGAGGTTTAGTCAGTATTAAGGCTGTGCTAAAGTGACTGAGCACTACAAGAAAAATGTTAAATTACATCAGATAAATGATATCACAAAAAGAACTGATACTTGTTTAAATCAATTATGTAGTAAATGATACAAAATATAGTATTTCACTCCATTAATGGTTTTATTAATTTGTTTAACATCACTTTAATAACACTGATACAATTCTTCATTAATTGACACAATAATATGGATTAGCATCAATTATTTAACAGATGCTTTAGTAATTTTCTATTAGCACCAATTAAAAAAAGATGCAACATTTACATCAACAAAGTAACTGATGTTAATGAAAATTATTTTTTACATGTTAATTACCATAACTTTTAGTTTCTGACATCATTTCATTTATGATTTTTAATTTTATAATATTTTATTTATTACTAGTAAAAAAATTCACGTAGAAATTTTCATTTGGGGGTGGTGGGGTGATCAAACAAAAGTGAAACAAAAGTTGAGGTGTAGAAAAATCTCAATGTTTGTTGTAACTAATTAAAATCCCTAGAATTTATCTTTTTCCATGTTTTCTATATCATGTTTCTCTAACAGTTCACTCATCGTTTAAACCCACATTTATTTTCCTGATAACTTGTATTTTTCTCTCTCTCATTCTCTCTGTATTAACAATATGTTCATGGTGAAACATGTAGTTCATCACCTATCAATACCAAGACGATGTTCTGCCTTTTTCACTTTGATTAAGATAAGTTCATAGTTTTTCTTTAAATTTAATATGTTTGTGCTTGTATATCATTTATTTTTTTGAATTATGTATAAATGTACAAAAATTAACTTCGGTTCTCTTCATATCAGTTCTTCTAAAAACAAGTTATATTTTTTGTAACAAAAAACAAGTTATATTCATTTACGTTAACAAGTGATAAAAGTAACAATAAGAAATCATTCTCAAGTATGTGTTTGTGACGTTTTACTGGAACACAAATTTAAAATGATTAATTTGTTTTTTTTTAAATCATTTTGCAGAATCTGAGTTATCGCAGGCAAAGAAAAAGATTCATTGGACAGAATTTGAGAGAAGAACATATGCAGTTATATAACCTGACTGATGGAGTTCTTCAATGGATCTAGTCTACTAAACTGATTCAGCTTCACGATACCAACGAAAATATAAGATGAATACAGATAAAGAGAACAAAGAAAAAGGAAAAGAAGAATCACAACTGAAGAAATCCTCATGAACAATTTTATTTAACTGTTTACAATCTTTTTTATTCTGAAAAACTATCAATTTCTTTTTCTTGTTCTTTTCTTTTCTGCATACTTTTGTTAGGATTTATTTTGATGGAACAAAGAGATAATGGAAACGATTTTATTTAATTTATCCATTAATATAATTTAATATCAATTATGTAGAAACGAGAATATTAGTTAAACTAACAATTGTAAATGATATAATTAGCTACTAAATCATTTTAAAATCTGAAACTAAGTTAACTTCAATTATTAATAAATGATATACACATTTAAAATCAATTATTTTAATTTATGTCACTACTTAAATCATTTTAAGAACTAATGTAAATTTTATATCACTTCTTATAATTGATACATGTTGGCATCACTTACAATAGTTGATGTAAATTATTTATATTTTTTGTGTCGGTTTTTACTAAAATGATGTAAATTATTTGCATCACCATTTTCACAGTCATTTATTTCAGTGATGTAAAATTCTGTAACAATATTTATAAGTAATACAAATAAATAAAATAAATGAAGTTAAATGATCATTTTTTTTTGTAGTGGAGTATGAGAGAATCCCAGTGTTGGTCGTGCTAAACCATGGCAATTTTCTCTTATTCCTATATCAAATATAACAAAAATAATTACCATCTCTCGTAAACATCACAACATTCCATACATGTATTCAAACTTTCAAATGATTAGTGTGTGTTTTCTTGTTAGATTCATTTTTAGTTAGTTTCGAGTAATTTTTATTGTTGTACACATGTACACTAGTAAGTTTGTTGTATACATGTACACTTTTATTTTTATTGTACACATGTACACTGCTACACTTTGTCATATACATGTCCACGTTCTATATTGAGTCTTTGTATTAATTTAGTTTCTCTTTTATTTATGTGATTATTAGAATTGTAAATGATACTAATGATCTTGAATTTACTCTTCTTGTTAAGTTTTTATCTTCAAATCAAGTTTGTACTAAAGTGTTTTTGGTTTCACAAATTTTATATTCTAAGATTTTAATTTAGTTCTTCCAAAACTTTCCATATGGTGTACATAATTTTCTAAAGTTTTGAAATCTCCACAATGAATACTATAACATTTATGTATACATTGAACATATACAAGGTGTATACTGTTATACACATTAATTCGTAGATGTGGATAAAAATGTTAGGTCCGTTTTTTGGCTAGCATGGACTAATTTTAGGTTATTCTACACATGAACACTATCATATCATTTTTGTTGTACACATGTACGCAACAATTTTATTGTATACATGTATGCTACATTTTTGTTGTACAAAATGTATGCTAATATATTTTTTCATACACTTATACATGCCCTAAAATATCATTGAATCAATTTAGAATAAAACACAACATAAAAGGAACAGACTGCTGGTGAATTATATTGATTGATTATTGAGTTGTTCTTTTATAATAAATAAATCTTATAAAAAACATATTTGAATCTACACTACATTTTTGTTGTACACATAAATGTTATTGATTGGCTATTTTTTGTTATACACATGTACGCTACATTTTTGTTGTACAAATATACGCTAATATACTTTGTCATACACTATTTTGCCTAAAGTGGGTTGACATTATACCAACTCGAGGATCTAACCCTATCCCGGAGCCAATCCCCTATTGGTCCTGCCACCACGCCGCAGAACGAGAACTCGTGTGGAACCTTTTCTTCAACACTTTTCAGAATTGGAGTCGGTGGAGCTTTCTTAATGAAAAATCTGATCAAAGTGAAGTCATTTTCGGACCAACTCAGAGGATCTAACAACATTCCTTACCGGCATTATTTTGTAGTACAAGCAACGATATTCCAGCTCGAACGGGGACTATCCTTGACATCTTCTTCTTATCGATTACGAAATTCTACAGAGAGTCAACGCATGTCCATTCTCCCCGAATAACCGTACAATGCTCCGCCATGGAGAATCTGAAAAAAATAGAAGAAGCAAGTGATTTAATCGGTTAAACGGATAGATTAAGTGGGCGTTAGGAAAAAAACCTTCTTTTTAGCGGCAGTAACACGTAAAGATTCACGTATTAAGGATGAACCGTGGAAAACACAAGAAGAAGATGATGATGAATTTGACTTTTTCCAAACCAATAAATCTGGACCATCAATGTGAAAAGCCCAAAAGCATATACAATGGTTGTGATATAAGACAGATATAAATCTTGTTAATAAACTCAGATATAATCTCATCCGTTAAGATGGAAGAGAGATGAGCGGTGGAAGATTGTTCCCGCTTTAACATGATTTAGTTAGTATCCAAGAGTTCCATGACTTTAATATCCAAGAGTTCCACTTTCTATAACATGATTTAATCTTATTGAAACAGATTGTAATGGCTATTGTGTTTAAATCTTTGTAGGAGCTTGATGGAGAAAATGAAGGTTAGGAAGAAGTATGAGTATAAATTGAAGACGGTAAGTCTTAGTAAAATGACCAACAAGTTTAAACTTTGTTTTCTCATTCTTATACAATGGATTCCATGCAAAACTTGAAGACGGTAAGTCCTAGTAAAATGACCAACAAGTTTAAACTTTGTTTTCTCATTCTTATACAATGGATTCCATGCAAAACTTGAAGACGGTAAGTCCTAGTAAAATGACCAACAAGTTTAAACTTTGTTTTCTCATTCTTATACAATGGATTCCATGCAAAACTTGAAGTCAACACGGTTGTGGGTATAAAGACAAGCCATAAAGTGAAGAGAAGCTGGCAAGGAGATTCTTCAGTGAACAACATTTAAGAAAGAAAGTGAAAAATGCACGGAGCAGTATTGTTCACAGTTAACTAAAGAGGAAACAAAGAGGAAAAGGGTACAAAGACTTAAATAATTAGATTCATGTTCAGATATCTCATATCTCAAGGCTTGCCAATTGCAGAATCTCTGCAGGTGTATGGAGAATCAGACCACAGTTGCAAGATTCAACCCATCCCCACATATGAAGCCCTTGTTTATCTAATATGATCAATGTGAACCAGATCTCCTCTGGCCTCTTCTTGTGCAAAACCATGAGCTTCCCATTGAAGTTAAACAATGCAGTGGAGAACAAGTCAAACTTAGGTAAAGATTCAATTCCTCTCACAACTCTCCAAGCTCTGGATTCTGGATCAAAATATTCAATCTTGGAATTCCATCCAACAGTGAAAATGGTGTTGATTATGACACAGGAGGTGAGATACATCCTTTCACCCATGGACGTCTGATCTTTCCTCTCCAATTTCCCTGTTTCTGGATCAAAAATCACGCATTTGGTTCCGCTGAGGAAGTGAATAAGCCCATTCCATACAACTGTGGCTGAGTTAGGTGATATCAGCTCTCTGTCTTGCTCAGGTATGGGATAGTTTCCCATTCGTTTGTGCTGAGGTCGAGAAACTCGACGTAATTCAGAGCATCCTCACTTGAACATCCGCCAAACACGTAAACTTTGTCATCTATCACTGCCGTGATGGGATCATAATGTATGGCTTTAGTCTTGGACATAACCTTCTTCTTGTATGATCCACCTTCCACATAGAAAAATCCAGAATCACCAAGTACTAAAACTCTATTACCAGCCGCAATCAAAGCATCTTTACCGCTGATGGGTGGAAAAGGAACCCGTCGAAGGAGGTATTCGTCGTTACAAAACTTTTTAATCAAGATGTACCAATTCACTGAGTTGTTTTCATCAGATTTCATTCCAACTAGTATTGAGGTCTCTTTAACGTTAAGACGGGATCTGACGTGGAAGATTTCTCCGCCATTGATGAAGGCTTTGATGTTCTTGGATATTAAAGTCATGGAACCTTGGCTTGAAAGTGGAACTCTTGCTATGCATTGCATTACAACTTTGCCTTTGCCGGAGAAGACACAATCACCTTTGTTTTCTTCTCGAAATAGAGAGATGGTTTACCAAATTAGGGTTACGGGAGAGTGAAATGAATTTTGTTCCTTTTTGTTTTTATTATTTTAATTCCCTTAGTTTTTAATTTGATTAATATTTTATAAACTGAATTCTAATTAAATTTTTTGTTTAATTACATTAATCCAGGGTTACTTCTGGGATTATATAAAATATTATACTAAATGGACAAGAGTAATAAGGATTTATACTAAAAGGACATGAATGCTGTTTTTTTGTTCTATATTAGCATAATTCTCTAAATATTTTACCAAAATAAAGAAAGACATAAATGCTGTAGCCAACTTCCACATCGACTACATCTAAAGCAATGGATACTTCGAGTGATCTATAAATATGGAGACTTTCTCAGCAATATAATATGTAAGTTGGGCTTTCTTTGAACGCTCACAAACTTGCCAAATATATCAACGGTTAAAAATCGGTATTAATCGCTATAGTACCCATATTTTTATGTACGCAGTCGATCAATAGTGTGCAGAGTAAGTTAATTGATTTGGCCATAATCGTCTCGGAACACTTGCGCCTGGCGCCTAGGAACAAGGAACATGACTAATTGAATAGACACGCGTACTGCTATTATATACCTAATTTACAAAAATGAAAGTCTTTAAGCCTAACCTTACTAATTGAATAGACACGTACTGCTATTATATACCTAATTGCCTAAAATGATTAACAAAAGGTGCTTTGAAAAAAAAATATCACAACAATGATAATAATAGTAAGCACACGTGAGAACTCAAGGATTATTTGAAATAACTAGAGTAAGCACGTGAGAAACTCAATGATTATATATGTTGAACCGAAAACAAAATTGAAGATACGCCTCAAAATAATAATTTTCGCTTGATGTGATAATTGTGTGTGTGTGCGTCACTAAAAACAGGGAGAAAAGAGAGTAGGGATTAGGTTCATTGTGTATTTTAGAGGTATTAAGTCGTTAATCAATCAGTTCCAAAAAAGTTAATCGAAGCCTAAAAGTCCAACCTATAAAAACATTAGAATATATAGGCACTTTCCAGTATATACATATCCATCTAGCTTAGGATGCTTAGTTCATTTTTTGCATGTAATGGACCTCCGTATGAAAATGAACTAGACCTTATCTACAAAATCTAACTCAAAGCAAAGATCTTAAATTGGAAAACGTACGAATATATACGATGACACTAGTGAGAAATGTCTCTAATACTACCAACAATACCAAAGATGTATTGTACGTACTGTATACTATAAATATTGCCATAATCAGTATAATTGCATTACTTGGTCAAAGTAGCTACGCCACTTTTCCTCCTCTATAAAGTTCACCTCTGTAAATTCTTTTTCTGTGATGCTCTTAATTATGCTTCTGCCATTTTTTTTGAAAAAGGCTATTTCGAGTACATATGCTATTTTTCTGATCCACTGCAAGTGCCAGAGAGTTCAGGCATTTCATTGGTTGTAAAAAGTAATAAGACAAAATGGCATGTGGATAATATTCCAAAATGTGTGAGAGGATAACTTCAGTCATGGCATATGATCATATGATTGAAAAAATATCTTATTAACTTCCTAAAGGGGAAAGCATGCAAGTTTTGTATACAAGAAGTACGTCAAGTCCAACGACTCTGACAATCTCAAATAACCTAATTGTTATGATGACGCATGACAAATCTGAAGACCTTGAAGAACATCGTAATAACCCAGACAAAACCGATGAAGGTGATGGATCCAACAAATTAGATGAAAACAGACAAATCCAATAACACTGATGAAACCGACGGAAATTAGTGACATTCAAAACCTACCATCCCGACGATATGATAAACTTGAACAAATTTGTAAGATTTATATACCACTGTACCAGACATCCATAGTCTTTAAAAAAGGTGTTAAGATATTATAGACTTTTTTTTGTTCAAAAAGATATTATAGACATGATATTGTTATAACTGAATTCCATATTTTGTGGGAACCACGTTAACGATTTTGTCAAATCCCTTGGAATCAAGATATCAAATTGTAAATCCGTAAATATACAATACAATCGCCATAACACATGGGATTGACCGTGATCTAAGTTAACATGCTCAAGATTATGCATGTCTTTGTTTGTCAAATGTACACCAACATCAATTAATAGACACGTCACGTATAAAAACATATAAATACTCCTAAAGACACGAAAAACATATGAACAAAATAACATAGTTGAGAACAACGTTGATAACGATATGAATTTAAATAGGAACTAGATAACAACTGCTGGCTGTGCACATTTTGATGGCTTGAATGAACGAGTTATCAGTATGGTTGATTTGGCTTATTTGTCACTAAAAATGTGGACTATTATTGTTTTGAAATATATTTATTATCTTTTTATTACGTACAGTAAAAACTATATAAATTAATAAAGTTGAGACTTTGATATTTTATTAATTTAAAATTTTTACTATTTACAGTTTTTTTTCTTTCAAATTTAAATATTGTAAAGTCTATTTTATGTTTAAATATGAAGAATAATTGACTTTACCATATATGTATTGCTAAATTGTATTGATACAAAAATTTATGTTGTTTTAATCGATTATTTGGTGTTATCGTAAATATAAATTTATTCTAACTGTAAATACAAAAATAACATTAATGTATATTAATAAAAATAAATATAAACTTAACTATAAGTAAAACACACGTTATGAAATATATTTATATAAACATTATAAATACTAATTATTAATTTATGTTTATATTGGGACCATATACTTATATTAGACTTTTCAAAAACTTATCCTTATATTATTTTATTGAATTTCGTCATATTTTACATGGTCCATCCGGAACCAACATAATTTATTAATTTATAATATTTATTAGTTTATTGAATATTAATCTATAGAATTTAATGTCATTTCCATGGGTAAGAAAGTAAAGCATACCAAACCTTAATATATCTATAATATTTTATCGCAGTAATCTTTAATAAAGTTAGAATTGTTAGTATCATAAAATGTTTGTCACCTTGTAAGTTTTGATGTTGGTTGCTTTAATAATTTCTAATACAACAAATGACCGACTGATGAGTAACCCATTGCGGCATGATCTCCTCTTCTTTCTATGTTATTTTTAATATGCAAGAATTCTTTTTTTATTTATAAACTGAATACAGAGTCGATGGTTCAGTAGTTTGAATCATGAGTTATGTATGTTACATTGTCACCCCAACTTAAACGAAGACAAACAAGTAAGTTTTAAGTTATTGGATTAAACTTCCGGATATAACAACTTCGTCATTACGTGTACATAGGATTATTTTAGTTTACTCTAGCAATGTACCGCATACAAATTATCCAAAAATTAAGAATTCAAAGCAAAAATTAGCTTAGAGTTTTTGATAAGTTATATAAATCGTCCGTTAGATTATACTGTGGGTTGTGTAACATGCATTTTCAAACTATAACGTAACTGGTAGGACAGCACATTTTCTTAGTGAATGAACCTCTCTGTGTCCATCCAAGCCGAAACATGGAACCTTTAGCCCGTTGTGTGTATCAACAGGTCGCCCAATAAGAGTACAAACAACGGATCTTCTAGAAAATAAATTCTTTGTTTTATTTAAAGAGACGACAAAACAATAGACAGGGGCGGATATAGACGAGACCGTGTTTTATGCATCGATGCATGTATTTGCATTGCTCATCTTTGGAGAAATGTATCCGCATTTTCTGCAATTTGTGAGTTTTTTCTTCCTATATATGTGTTGTGATTCTAATCTCATTTGATCGTAAAGCTGTCTCCCTTGGAAGTTCTAATATATGGGATTAACGAGAGCTAGTTTGAAGACAGTGGTCACTTCTTATATCTCTCTTTTGCTTATCAGTGACAGATATAGCCAGTCAAACCCCAAGGAACCCAACCGCGATGCCCACGAACCAGATGACAAACTTGAAAAAAAGTTGAAGCATGATTTGATGAACTAATTTTAAACATTTAACTGGATATCTATAGTTAGGAAATTCGAAGCTGAGAAAAAAGTTATTAAGATATTGTGGATATGATATCATTATAACTGAATTTCATATCTTGTGGGATCACGTTAATGATTTTGTCAAGTCCCTCGCAATCAAGATATCAAATCCCTAAACATACGTACAATCACCACAACACATGGGGTCTTCAATATTATTCGTTGTCTGTATTCATTTGTTTGTGAAATATATATATATATATCAACACTAATTAATTGCACTTTGAACATATAAATAATCCTAAGTACATGAAAAACAGATGAATAAAAACACAATCAAAACAAAGTTGACAAAATCTAATCAATTTTAAAAAGGAAGTGCAGTATGTACACACTTTGAAGACTTGTATGATTAAGTTAGTGGCCAGCAATAGCATTGAGTATTCATCATTATCATCATCCATCAAACCTAAGAAAAAGTCAAAGAATTTTCAGTATATATAGAACCCAATTGCTCATGAAAATTTGTACACACTAAGAAGAAATTAGGAAACTGAAAGTAGCAAAAAAGGAAAGAAAGAAAAAAACAAATGGCAAAGATCATGTGCTTCCTTACTCTTTTGATGATTTTTATGTTGATCTCCACAGGTAACACAAACTATTACATATGAATCAAATACAATCATTTAACTTCTAATTTTGTAAAAATATGCTTAATCAAATTCTTTTATCAGTACATGTTGTAAAGATCTATTTATATATAATATATGTGTGCTTTTCTTATCAGGGATACCGAATGGAAAAGCTCAATGTGAGGAACCTGGAGAACCAATTGAAACGTTACCGACAGACGTATGCGATATTGTGGATGGGCAAAGTCTTTGCGACCTTACTTGCTTCAAGATAGCAGGGTATATCCGCGGCGAATGTGACACAGAAAAAGTTTGTCATTGTTACAGTTGCCCAGCTTAAACTTACGACTTCTGCTGCTTGGAAATAACCATCAGTTCGATCAGTTGAACATACTTTGATCTTTGTATTTGAGTGTCTATGTGTGTTTGGAATAAAGAGATTTTTAATTTTACTACAAACCTTCAAGTTTACTTTTAAACGATGATCTCTTTTATAAATACCTTAAATTTGTGATCCAAAATATCAAACTAATTCTATTAAATCATTTAAAAATGTTTAATAATCATTTGTAAAAGTTTTTAAATCCAACCATACCTCTGAAATACTAAATCATAAATAATAATAATCATTATATCATAAACCCAAATGTTATGTATTTTTGATTGAATGTATTTTTTAAAAATGTTAACCAACTTATGATATTTCAAATAATTTATCTTTGAATAATCGATAAAATAGGCAAAATATGGACAGCAAGGTTTTCACAGAAAGTCTTAGTAAATATAAATGTCTTTGGGTAACGTAGATGATGTGGGCTGCTGATTTTAATGAGTCTGTTGCCTAGAGCCGTTGTTGGTCCAGATTCCAAGACAGTCTGGAGTTGAGCTAGGTGGTGCAAAAAATAGATGATGGAAATGGCAATATTACCGATAGTGAACCAGCTCTACAGAGCGGACCATTGTCAAGGAGCAGTCAACTGCCAAAAAGTGGTCCATTGCCAAAGACTGGTCCCGTGGTCCGTTGTCTGATGATAAACATGCAGAGATGACGTCACCGTCACCTTCATAATATTTATGTGGCTTGACAAGAAGCTTTATGGTCTAGGAACGAAAGAACCCATGGGTCCTCTGTAGTTTCATCCTTTGGAAAAGGAGTTGGCACTCTCCCAGTCTCTTGTGTGGCAGCGATTCTAATCATGAATCAGCATAAGATCATGACATGATAAAAGTAGGATGTTTTTTCACTGCATTTGTGCCTGCTGAGCTCTGCTTTGTTTCTTTTGCTGAATACGAATGGTTCTAGTAACTGCAGTGGCGAGGCTGTTTTTACTGTTTCGAAACTTCTTACTGATGTGAGACCACTTGCAATTCGTGTGAGATGCATATAAGTCATGATGTACTTTAGACTAAGAAGTTCAAAGTTTAAACACAGGAGGTCCTCATTGTATTTAAAAAAAATGGTTAGCCAAGATTCTTGTGCTTATCTATGCATACTATGCTATTATACACATAAATAAAATCTAATGAGCATCGTTTATTCATGGTTGAACTTTTGAGAAAAGGCCAGGCATCATCTTCAGAGTGATATCGCTGTAGGGTTGATCCTGTTGCATATCTATAAGTCCTCTAGACTTTAACACCTGGTAATCCAAGCAAGTAGTCTCCATTAGAGACAATGCAGAGATAGATACAAACAAATGTACGGAGAATCAGTTACCAGTGTCTCAAAGAACATTCGAGCGGCTAGCTTCCTTGTCTTTCCGGCCAAGATCTTTCCCAAACTTAGATCTCCAGATGAAAAGCTTGAAGTGGGAGTACTTGAAGAACGTTCTCTAAGATACTGCGCCAACGCTCTGCAATGTTTTAATGAATGCGTTAACATATTAGTAGTGAAACTGCAGCCTCATAGAGCTACCTAGATTATGGAATCTTTTTATATACCTTGTTCTCCCTGTCAAACCATCAGAATCTTGACTAGCTGGTGATTGCACCGGGGTATTGCCACCTACCTCTAGGAAATAAAGTTCCTGTATGACACAAGCAAATGGTATTGCTATCAATGATAGCGAAGCACCAAGAATGGTAAAAACAAAACATGCAAAAACGTGAGACAAACCTCGTCTGTCATTTCAGGAATAGCTGAAGTCCCTGAGTTCGTTGGTCCAGGCAGATCCTCTCTATATGTGGAAGTAGAAGGCTCTGTTCTGTAAGATTCCGTCTCCCAGATTCTACTCTGAGTGGTGAAGTCATCAGTTCTAGAAGGTGAAAATCTTGGAGGTGGCGAGGGCATGTAATCAGTGTAACCACCTTCCCTTAAGCGTTCGATTCCAGTGTCATCATTATTAAATGGCGGTGGAGACTGTGCTTCTCTTGCTACAGACTCCGCAGGTGTTGATTGAGGACCTGCAGAGTCTTGGACATCTTCAGTGTGCTGAACTGGAGACAGCTGAACTGTACTGTCTTGATTAGTAGAATCAGGAACCGTAGATTGTGGAATTGGAGAGGTTGGGTTAACTTCTGTATCAGCTTCTCGAGTAGGAGATGATACAGGTGCAGGTTCTGGTATAGTTTCAGTAGGAACAGCAAGATATGGCTTTGAAGCTACACAGTCCTTGTCAAAGACACTGCGTAGAGCATCTGAGTAGCCTGCAGATAGCCATAGATAATGCAATAAACGTTATTTTAAGGACACAGGAAAAAAAAATCACTGAAAAAATTACTTGTAAGCAAGGGCTCACTGAAAATCTGATCCTTCTTGGACTGGTTATTCATTCTCCATACATTTAGTTTAGAAGAAGGCATCTTCTTTCTTTTAAGAAGAGTATCACTAGGGTCCTCAAGCCTATCTTTCATTGCCCTATCCAAATTCGATTATCAGTATGCAAGAGGTAATGGAATAATCAATCACATGAAGAGATAGACAAGTTATTACCTGTTAGTTAATACTGTGACCTTATCAAACTGCTTCCTCTTCCTTGGCCTTGGTTGTGGTGCAGGAGGTGGAGTTGGCTGAAGAACTAGTTGAGGTGATGGATGCACTTAACATCAAAACAAAAACATATCTCACATAAATAATAAAATAATATATATAATTCTAAAGGGAGAAGTTATCAGACTATATTTTTTGCTCACCAAAATTTTCAGGTTCTTCCACAGAACCAGCAAAACCTGGAGATTCTGAGCGAAGCTCAAAGGTCGAATGTCCTCCAGAATTTAACATTTCTTCATCAATACTAGGGATAGTTGGTTCCTTCTCATTCAAAGAACCAGTGCCTTCAACTCCAATATTCTGTTGTTCTGCAGCAAATGGTGGATGGGATGCAGGGCTTAAACCATGTGCAGCATCACGCCTTATCTCAACCTCGGGAACACTTCCAGGAGAATATGCATTGCTTCTCTCCGGACTGGGATTAAGTGGTTCTGTCATGTTACTTGGTCTAGTATCCTGGAACTCAGGGATTTCCTCTGTATCGTTAAGAAGACCATATGTTCCAGTGTCTAAACCAATATTGAAGTCTCCTCCTTGCTCATTTATTGGTTCTGTCTCACAAGCCATTTCAACATCAGTATCGCCAGGATGATGTGCACTCACAGGTTCTGTAGGTTGGCTGATTAAAATCATAAAAAAAGAGGTAACCACATTAAAAGGTATATCCTTGAACATATAAGGAAGATAATGAGATATGTGTAGTAACTAGTAAAGGAAATCAAAACATTATGAAGAGACTCACTCAACATCCATTGGGGTAGATTCTGGAAAAATGTCCTGTAAGAAAGACATACAAAACTTTCTTTTAGTAACAGGTAATCAAAATCAACATCAAAGCCATAAACGCAAGTAGGAATCTCACATCATCAAATGTTACAGCAACATAAGGATCAACGCCAGTAGGAACCTGATCTGCAAAACCAACAATAGCATCATAAACACCTTGAATCATGACATGATGCATCAATAAACAGCATGCAAGAAAAGGTACCTGTGAGAGTTATATCTTCCTGACTCCGCAGATGATTATCAAACTCCCTACGAATCACAAGAACAGAGTAAAAAAGAATATGTTAATATCTCTCATGAGATCAACCTCCAATAAAAAGTGAGATAATAAAAGAGATGGGATATTCATACCCCTTGAGTGTGTCATCCTCCAACTCAAAGTCATCCAAGTTAAGTGCTTGAGGCAAAGTCACAGACTCAACAGGGGCCTGTCTTGCATCCTCAGGCAAGTCAACATGAGCAGAGATGAAAGCCTTAGCTAACCAAGTGCTGAAGAGAGTACAGTCACGGAAAAGATAATCAACTTGCTTTGAGTATATTCTCACAACCCCAAGTAGAAGGTGCCCTGACAATCTCAATGCCAATGGTACCTCTGGAAACATTATAAGATCTGCAAAAGACCGTTACATATATTATTAACATAACCACAGATAGAGAACGTTTGGTTAAACCAAAATTATCGAAAAATTCAAACTTTACACAATTTGATGAATGCCCATGTCAATAATAATCATAACTAAACAGAAAAAAAGGTTGAACCTTTTTAATTGTATAAATTCAAAGGGTATACAATTAAAAAGAAGGTTGATTTTATACACAACCAGAGAGAGAAAGTTTGATTAAACCAAAATTATAGGAAAAAAAATCAAACTTTATACAATTTGATGAATGCCCATGTCAAGAAGAATCATAATTGAAGGAGAAAAGGTTAAATTTTTAGAATTGGATACAATCAAAGGGGATAAAAGAAGAGACTTTTTTTTATGAGAAAGCAAAAGAGAAGAGGAAAGAGACGAACCAACAGTTTTGGGGATGTTAGTGGAGGTGTAGTGAGACTTCTTGAGACGGTTTTGCAAGTGAGCGGCGGACCAAACCGTCCCCAACGGACCCTTTCGAGCCAATTGAGTATGTGAATAAAACATTGGTTTCCCCCTTCGAAATCGAACTATCAGATAGAGAGAGAGATCAAGTACAGAGCAAGGAATCGCGTTGAGGAGAGAAGGGTTATCGAAGATTTATATATTAAATAAACCAATCAGTGGCGACCGGCGAAGAGAGGAAGTTAGGGTTTTATTATTATGTGATTTTGGAGAAGACGAAGAGGTTTAATTGTCGCGGGAAATAACGTCTAGGAGCGCGATGTTATGAAAGAAAAATGGAAAAGTTTGTGGGTTTAAAACAATAATAAAACGATAAGAAAGGGACTTAAAAGAAATAAAACTTTCTACTTGGAACAGACAGACTCAAAAAAAGAGACAACTGTATTAAATTGAGACCCAATAGCCCAAATTATGGAATTAATGGGCTTACATTTAGGCCCAATACTACACCATCTAGGGTTTTCTTCTTATATAGAGCTGCTGCTGTTGTCTATCTTCTCCGACGGTGGCTGCGGCAAGGGAGCAAAATCAGAACCGATAATGGTATTACTTCGCCGTTTCTCAGTTCTTGGTGAATGCTATTAGAGCTTAGGTTCACGTTTTAGGTCGTCACCGTCATGATTGTTCGTTCTTACATCTATAGTTTTAGTATCCAGATAAAATGTTATCTCTTGTTGTGTGTTGATTACTAATGATCTTGTAGACAGAGCCATGCTTGTGAGTTTCAGTTCTGGTTTTTTTTTAAAAAAAAATGGTATCTTTGTGTGTTTTGTAATAAATCTGCTTTTCATCGTCAACCATTTTGAACACTTTTGTCTTTCCAATTGAGTAATAATGAATGTTTTGATTTTTTATTTGTGTGTAGCCTAAGCAAATCCACGAGATCAAGGACTTCCTTCTGACCGCGAGAAGGAAGGATGCAAGGTCTGTGAAGATCAAGAGAAGCAAGGACATTGTTAAGTTCAAGGTTAGGTGCTCTAGGTACCTATACACACTATGTGTCTTCGACCAAGAGAAGGCTGATAAGCTTAAGCAGTCACTTCCTCCAGGTTCATAATCTCTCCTCTCTTTTGCATCTTATGTTTGTATTTGCACTTTTGTATAATCATTAGCGTCTTAGCATAATTGTCAATTAAGTTGTTTGTGTACTTGTAAAGAAGCATTTGTGTGTATTGTGTATGCAATATGTATATGTATAACATCCCTGTGAAGAGCTTATATCTATGGCGTAAACTGAAAATGTGGGAATTTTATTTATTGACATTGTGTGTTATACCATACATTAGCTGCTGCTATCAATCACTTGGAACCTCTTAATATCATTAAGATACTTGTTAGAATTTGCCTAATAAGTCTTACTAGGATTTAAGTATTTGTTATCACTTGGCATCTGAATCTTTGTATATGCGCTTGTGTTTATCATAAGAATCCTAGCATTTGTGTCCTTTATGTACTCTTAATGAAGCTTGTGTGTATATTGTGTGTATCATACCTGAAGAGTTCGTATATATTATTATGGCTCATGTATATCCTATATGTTTCAGGTCTGAGTGTTCAAGACCTTTGAAGATCCTCTTGAAGTCAACGCCACCTGCTTTAGACCTTTTGTTTGGGAGATTTTATTTTTGCTTCCTTTTGAATTAATATTATTCAGACGTTTCTTTTTTTTCAATTTCGAGACTTGAGTTTTTATTTTGTTGTTTGCTATCAACGTGGCTACTGCCTACTGGTTAGTAACATGTATGGGTCTAAAAGATTTTGACAAGAGTCTACGAGAAGATTAGTCTAAACCATCATTTGTTACATAATTATCCTCATTGATATTGATCAAGAGGATATATCATTTGCAGAAACTAAAGAAGAACTACACAACAGAGTTATTCACTAATTCACTCCTAAAGGATAAGGCACAGAGGCAATATGGTTATGAGCGACTGTCCCTATCCAAAGCTTCCCTTGAACCTCCCTCACTTCACTTACAAGCTTCATTACCTTACCTTGTCTATCCTCAAGAACCTCCAGCACTTTACCCTTCTCGTTGAATCTTGATATCACAGTGTACATTTTCATCCCCATCGCTTTCGCCAGCAGCTTCATTGGTATGGGCAGCCTAAAGTAGATGCTTCTTATCCAAGGGTTGTTTGTAAGAATTTCCTGTGCTGGTGTTCTACAACAGTCTATTGCAACCCAAAACTCACCCTTCTCGTTCATTCTTACATTGTCTGGGAATCCTGGTAGGTCTGCAACCACCTCCACTTCACCTTTTCTTGAACCCTCAAGCCAATATTTCACTAACCTGCCAAATACATAAGGGAAAGAAACATTGAGTCTATGTACATGATTTTAAACTATTCTTACTTGAATTTTAAGGTTTGTTTGTTTATGTGGTTATACCTGCAATTAGTTGTTTCTGTGAAGAGAAGGAAAGATTGGTCTTTAGAGAGCTGAACGCCATTGGGAAAAGCCAAACCTTCCAACACAATGTGTGTTGTTTTGGTAGGTGGGTCATATCTTAGAAGCCTTCCTGTTGATTCTCCTTCAAGTAATATGAAAAAATGATTCCTACAAAAACAAATCAAACTCTTCAACTCTTATAATCATACCAATTAACGGTGGAGAATTGAACCCAAAAGTAAGAGAAAACCTACGCTCTGTCATATCTTTTGCTTGTGTCAGTAAAGAAGATGGAGCCATTTCTATGGATGTCAAGATCATTGGCAAAGAGTATAGGCTTCCCTTCCACATGAGTAGCTAAAGGTGTAGCAACCCCTCCTTCAGGACCAACCACTAGTAGACCATAGTAAGCGTCTGCAATGTACAAATTCCCTGTCTCTTTATCAAATCTCAGACCAAGAGGTCTCCCACAGAGCTTCTCATGCTTCCACTGCTTGTTCGTTGTTGAATCCACCCCTCTTGCGCAAGCCTCCTCTGACCTGGTTCATATGAACACACAACATCAACAAGAGAAACTCAAAACATTCAGAAAAATTATGAGTATGTCTTTACCATTTTGATGTTACAACGGAAAATGTTTCCCAACCGTTTGCTTCACCCATCCATCTAACCACCCGTCCATCAGCCAACCCTGTGTATGGACCACGACCTAAACTATCAAACTCTAGTGACTCTGGACCAAAGACTTGGTCCACAAACTCCAGTTTCCCATGTTGACCTAGTTGACTTAGATTGTCTCTTGGCCAGTTTTCCATGACTTGCTTGTACGGAGCCACCTCATGCTTCACAGGTTTGAACTCACGACCCCCAATAGGACTCATGTGAAAGGGGTCGATGGCTATGAATATTATAGACAAAGCAAAGATACAGAGAACCGGGTGGTGAGTCAGAAAGGAATCATGTGTACTATGCTGTTGACCTTTCTTCTCCATTTTAACTGCTCTCAGAAAGGAAGATCAGATTCACCTGATCAATGTACAGCTTATATAAGAAAATATAAAGAAAGTGTGGTTGTGAAGAAGCTGTGAATGAAAATTGGGTTGAAAGTAGGTTTTAAATGGTGATGAACAACTAAGTCAAAAGTGGATCTAAGTTAGACTAATTTTGATAACAAAATACAATTGTCATGACTCTAGTTAACCTGTAAATCATCCAACCTACAACTTCTGATCATAAATAAAACATGAATTGTGAATCCCTAACTTTTCTTCTACCCTTGACTTACCTTCTTTTTCAAAGACACTGCTCTAATCAAAGAGAGCTTCAGAAAACTTTATCTCACTACCTTGTGAAATTGCAAGAATGCAAATGGTAAAACATATACAATATATCGAAGAAAAAATAAGAATATTTGGTAGCATACTTTCATAAATGTAATAAATGTGAAGGTCACAATTCAGGAAACATGCCTAGTGGATATGGAATCTTTAGGTGAGATATTGAGACCCTTTTCTCAACTATACATCAAACATGTGACTTCCTATTTCATCTGTACTGATGCCTAAACAACATTAACTTGATTCCCACAAGCATTTCAAGCAAGCCTTACATATCTTTTTAAGTTCTTCGAAAATGGAACTGCATAAGCGTCTGTCTTCAATCTACTAGCTAGATGACAAGAGCTTTGTTCCCAAATACAATATTGACCTTGAAACTGAATTTTTACACAACTATTATCCTACCAAGCATCGTAACAGCCCAGTAGTTGTTCATCCCACCATATCAAACCCCAGGAAACAGTGTAACCAACCAAGATCCCCGACAAATGTCCCAGAAAGCTAGCTTGTGGAACAATGATGGAAGTAAAAATAAGTGACTCAAAAGGAGCAAAGCTAATGGGAAGAGACAAAACCCCATACGGATCAAGCTTAAGGTTGCTTCACAGACAAAATCGTCATCCAACCAAACACAACACAAAGAGTACTCAACAGCTACCTATTACTCTACTGAAATACTCAACCTTGAACCCACCAATCAGCAAATGGTATTATCCCAATAACAAAACCACCAGAGAATACAACAAGGACAAGAGTGTAATGAAGGTAATAAGCAGTTCTAAAAGACCTAAGTTCCCTAGCTGTTCCACAATACCGAGACTCCATAGAGCACTCATGTTGAAGACGAGGTGCAAGACGCTGATATGTGAGAAAGAAGAGGTGATAATCCTCCAGAAAGTATGGGTCTATAGAGAGAGCCTGTTTACAAAGGAATAAACCGGAATGAATTTACATTGTAAACCATGATTAAATCGGTACTTAACAGGGTCAATAAACATCAATTTTCAGTCTAAATATAAAATCTTAGAAGAAGAATCAAAATGAAAAGTCCACGTTTTAGGAGCTCAATTCTTGAAGAATGTTAACGAGTTCCACAATGAAAAATGACAAAGGTCTGGTCCAGACCAACGACAGTCTTTCGTATTTTTACATTTTTGTTCAAAAGTTATACAATGATGAATGTAGTATTACTACGCAATGCAAATTTTAAGATTTATACACAACTGGGTACGAGATATGACAAGGCGTTTAGTTTTCATGGACGTCACAAAGATCATATATACGACATGCATGCAGACATAATGGCCAAAGAACAAATCAACATGATCATCGACTTTGTTTTCCATTTTTTTTATAACTTATGCTATTCTTGAAGATTATGCTGTATCTCGACCAAGTAGTTAACTGAAACTATTGAGTTTCTAGAAAGATTGACTATGTTTAGGATCTGAATAGTCAAATATTTGTAGTGAAACAATTGTATCAATTGGAAGAGAAGAGAAGTAATTTCATTTGATATTTATGAGTTTGTGTACATATTGAAGCTCTATATGTAGCTAACTTTAGGCTTTGTTACCTTGGACTGGTTGATTGATTGTATGCAAGGAAGAAGATACTTGATAAACCTCTACATGGTAACCAAAACAAAATATATAGAAGAATAGAAACAACACACACAACACACAAATTGAGTATTAATATCAGGATATATGTATCTTTTTTTACAAATTACAAACTAAAAAGAAAGTATGTGAACTTTAATGTTGTCAAGTTCTAGAGAAGATCATAAAATAACCTGTACCTATGAAATATGAAACTAGTGCATTTCATTCACATATTAATATTTTGTAAGTAATAATACATCCAGAACTAAGCAAATAAGAATATAAAAAAGGATATATATTTATAATAAAAATTTAGTTAAGCCGTGCATGCTTGAAGCTCCTCGTTGAAGGAACCATCGATTTAGAATAACGAAGACTATCATTTAATTTGGAGGTGGCTTGACTGTGACATGTTTCCTGGCATCGACTTGTGTCACGATCATCGTTACCATCATCAAAACGATGATGAAAGAGGCGATCAGGGTTCTCTTCTCCATAGCCATAATGTTTAATAAGCTAGTTCCGAAATTGGTTCTTGTTTTTTTTTTTGTTCTCTTTCTACGTAGTTCTTGATTAACTTACCAATGTATTTATATGCAAAACCAAACGTCTATAAATAGTATATTCCTAATTTTAAACTTTCCTGGAATGTCTCAATTGTCTTTTCTTAGATATTGGTCAAATGACTGAAATCTAAATACTGTAAGTATTTTTGATAATGTCTTCGTAATTTTTCATGTAAATTTTACAATGACCAATAAATTCAAAAAATATTAACCACTAAAAGTTTCTTCCACATTTTCATTAAGAGTGCAATTTTTAGTTTAATATATATATCACAAATTAAGAAATGTAATAATAAAACTGTAACTCTATTTAAAATGCATTTGATGATAATGACTTAGACTCCATAAGAGGTTTAGGTAAAAGAAAGATTTTCTATAACGTTTTTTGTGGTCGGTGTTTTTGAAGGTATATGTTTTGATGTATGTGAATCTCACCAATAACGTACCCAAAAACCTTATGTTAGATCCCAATTAGGTTCAACACGACGACCTTCGTCTTAGAAGAAAACTCTCTTATAAGGATAAAGGTTCCATATCTATCATTCATGTTAAAGAAGAACCATAACAATGGCTGCTAAAACACAAACATCTTCTTCATTACTACTCATTTCCTGTTTCTTACTATTTGTTTCAGTTAATGTCCCTTCATCAGTTCTCTCAGCCACTCTACGATCTGATATCCAAGCTCTAGAGTCTATCATCCGCAGCATTGATCCAAGTTCCATCTCCCCTTCCTCTTACCTCAGCACATGGGACTTCTCTGAAGACCCTTGTGAAGGCTCAGGGACGTTCTTGGGAGTTATGTGTTCTTTCCCTCTTGAGAACACAACCAGCCGAGTCACAGAGATTGACCTTGACGATGATGGTTATGACGGTTTCCTCTCTGATGAAGTAGGGAACCTGACAGAGCTCACTGTTCTTAGCCTCAACAAGAACAGATTCCGTGGTCCAATACCAGAAACTGTCTTCCAACTCAAGAAACTCACCAAACTCTCTTTGTCTGAAAACTTCTTCACCGGAGACATAACCCCTGGAATCACTTGGCTCAAAGAGCTTCAAACCATAGACCTGTCCAAAAACAGCATAGCCGGTGAGATCCCTCCAAGGATCTCATCCTTGAGAAGCTTGACTCATCTGATCTTATCAAACAACCATCTAGACGGAAGAATACCTCCACTCAACGGCTTGTGGAAGCTACAAGTGTTGGAACTTGGTAACAATCACCTTTCTGGAACCCTCCCTAAGCTTCCACCAAGTCTAAGAACTCTATCTCTCTGTTACAACAGCCTCGCAGGACGTATATCACCTTTAAATAGACTGAAACATCTTGTGTCATTAGATGTGAGCCAGAACAGATTCTCAGGCCCCATTGGACATCAAATCCTAACGTTTCCAGAGATTTCACACATAAATGTGTCTTTTAATCAGTTCATATCCATAGAGGTTGTTCAGGTTATAGGCACTGAATCCCGCCTGCGCATACTTGACGCTGAAGGAAACCAATTACAGGGGCACCTTCCACTGAACCTGCCGACTTATGGAAACTTGAAGGATATCAATCTACGGAGCAACAAGTTCTCAGGAGATATTCCGAGGATTTATGGGAAAAGACTTGAGAATTCATGGAGAAGCTTGTACTTGGAGAACAACTACCTCACTGGTTTGCTTCCTGAGGAGTTTCTAAGAATCTCCAAGCAAGTCAGAGGAAGCCTTTCCAATAACTGTCTGCAGTGTCCTAAGAATGTTCCAATCTGCCAAGGAGTACAAAAGCCAAAATCACAATGCACCAATGTAATGCAGGAGAAAGGCTTGGAGTAGAGATCAATGTTCACGTGCATGGGAAGCAGTTTCTATTAGAAAGTATAATTAACTGACCAATGTTCGTGTCCTAGTTTTTATTGTATTCCAGAAGAAAAAATGACATTCAAAACAGATGATTAAGACACTCTAGAGGGGTGCTTCTCCACTACCCATTGAAAGTAATGTTATCTTCAGCAGCATGACTTGCATAAGCCAGCCAAATATTCCTTTCACAAAAACCAGTTCAGAGCTTCAGAGAACACCTATTAAATTCGGAAACACCACAAGGATCAAAATGGTTGAACAAAGACATGTACATGAATAGATATAAAAGAACTTACATCCCATGGAGTCCTAGTAATTTTATGTTTCAAATTATAATTTATCATCATTTTAATATAAATCAATTCAAATTCCAGATTGAGTGCACTTCCAATGAAACACAGTACTTGAATTACAAGTTGTCTCTTAAATCACTCAGTGGAATTTTGAGGAAAAAGTTGCACCATAACAATGTTCTTGGTGTTCTCATTGATGCAATTTGATATATGACATGAGGAAACAAAAGAGAAGATCATCTAATATATACACAATACAAAGAGTTTTCCTGCGCCATGCACAAAAAATAATAATTTTAAACATAATATTAATTTATTTTTAAAACTTAATTTACATTTTGACACTATTTTTATATTTTCATTTTACCGATTATGATTTTACTTAACTCTTTCCGTTTGATTTTAGAGAAATTCCCAAGAAAATGTCTATTTGAGAGTCCTTGGTTTTGTTTAGATTTCAATAGATTCAAATTATATTTTATTTATATTATATTTAAAATTAATTATTTTTAAATATATTATTTTTTTTATTTTAAATATATTAGTGTATAAATTCTAATAAATTTTTGAGTTTTGTTTGTTTTTATTAAAATATGTTAAACTGATAAAAATTAATATGTTATTCACCTAATAAACTGATAAATTTAAATAAAAGTTAAGCATTTAAGTATCAAAAAGTTTTATTTGATTAGTGTTGCTTTAGTTTTTAAATTTTGATGATATATATATATATATATATATATATATATATATTTATACAAAATATGATATATAAGTTGATGTAAATATTTGTAAATATGTAGTTTATTTTTTTATTGGTATGATACATATTATTTTAATGATGATATATATATATATTTCAAAATTTTTGCTAAATAAATATTTATATAGAAAGTTTACTTTTTGATGATATAACAACTATTTCTTTATTAATCTTATGTCATATTTTTTTAATGATATGTCATTCTTTTTGTTGAAAATGAATTGATGATGATACCTATACAAATCACTTCGCAAAATAATGTTTCCCAAAATAACGTTTAAGGGATTTCGGACACCCAATCGAATCTCAGATAAATAGGATAGACCCGGATCCAAACCAAACCTGTATTTTCCAGTCTGTTACTGGTTTTCGAGTCTAGATAAAACACGTCCTTCAAATAATATCCCATCATCTAATGAAAATCTTAATATTTGGTTGCTTCAGGGTGAAACGTACATTTCCTGATCCTAGTTGGACTAAATCTCGCAACTGAATAAGATCGTGAGATCTCCATCAAAACCTTCATCAAGTCACTACAAGAAAACTAAGCATTTACTAGGAAATTTTACTAGGAAAATTCTTCCTCGTAAAGTTACTAAGCATTTACTAGGATCTTACGAGGAAAGCAAATTTCCTCGTAAGCTCTTCGAAAACTTACGAGGAAATACTTTCCTCGTAAGACCTTAGTAAATTTACGAGGATCTTACGAGGAAAAAGTACTTTTCCTCGTAAAGTCGTAGTAAAGACTTTCCTCGTAAAGCCGTAGTAAAATATTACTACGAAATTATGAGGAAACAGTTTCTTACTACGAAATTAGGAGGAAATAGATAGGAAATATCGAATTTAAATAAAACACATGTTTTGTACCTACTTTTCCTAGCAATTTCCTAGTAAATGCTCAGATTCGAAAATTTCTATAAATACCACCTTATGTGATTCATTTGAAACACACCCAAAAAAAATCAGATATAAACTTGATCAAACACAAAAAAATGTCCGGTCCGGGAAATATTTTCGAGTTGCGGCAGTGGATGTATTCACACAGAGATAATAACGGGAGGGTGACGAACGAATTTCTTGAAGGGTTGGAGACGTTCATGCATCAAGCAGATTCTACATCACTCACGCAGGAAAGTGGTAAGATGTTCTGTCCTTGTCGGAAATGCTGCAATAGCAAATTAGTCCCTCGTGAAAATGTTTGGAAGCATTTAATAAATAGAGGTTTCATGCCATATTATTATATTTGGTATCAACATGGAGAAGATGGTAGTTGTAGGAATGAAGGTAGCAGTAGTAAACAGATTGAATTACCGGTTGAGCATTTGCGTAATGAAGGTAACAGTAGTTATAGCTATGATCATCACCAAGAGGAACAAATGGTAGATTGTGATAGGGTTCATGATATGGTAGGTGATGCATTTGTAACTCATGATGATGATGATGAAGTTGAAGAACCTAACTTAGATGCAAAAAAGTTTTACGAAATGTTAGAAGCTGCAAATGAGCCAATTTACAGTGGTTGTAGAGAAGGTCTATCTAAATTGTCGTTGGCTGCTAGAATGATGAGTATTAAAACCGATCACAATCTACCTGAAAATTGTATGGATGCATGGGCAGACTTGTTTAAAGAGTCTTGGGTTGCCCTCGGAGATGATAGACGTTTGCATCGACAACTGCATGATTTACTGGGGAGATGATGAGAAGTTAGAAGAATGTCGATTTTGTAAGAAGCCATGATTCAAACCGCAAGGTCGAGGGCGCAATAGGGTACCGTACCAAAGGATGTGGTACCTACCAATCACAGACAGATTGAAAAGGTTGTACCAATNTGGAAACATTTTAACAATGTACATCCACATTTCGCTAGCAATAGCCGGAATGTGTATCTTGGATTATGCACTGATGGTTTTAGTCCATTTGGAATGTCTGGGAGACAATATTCATTGTGGCCGGTCTTTCTTACACCGTATAACCTGCCACCGGAGATGTGCATGCGACGAGAGTTTCTATTCATGAGCATCTTAATACTTGGTTCAAAACATCCAAAAAGATCTCTCGACGTTTTTCTACAACCACTGATAAAAGAGTTGAAAGATTTGTGGTCAACAGGGGTGAGGACATATGATTGTTCAACGAAAACAAACTTTACGATGCGAGCGATGCTTTTGTGGACCATAAGTGTCTTTCCTGCATATGGTATGTTGTCTGGGTGGACTACACATGGAAGATTAGCTTGTCCATATTGTAATGGAATGACAGATGCGTTTCAGTTGAAGCATGGTAGGAAGACTAGTTGGTTCGATTGTCACCGTCGATTTCTTCCCATCCACATCCCATACCGCAGAAACAAGAAATTGTTCAGGCACAAAAGGGTTGTCAGAGACACTCCTCCTCCATATTTAACTGGAGAACAAATCGAAGCGCAAATCGATTACTACTATGCTCTAGAAACAGCTCCTCGTGGTGGGAATTGGCATGTTCCCAGTAATATGCCTGATTTTTATGGTGTTCAGCACAATTGGCACAAAAAGNACAGCTCCTCGTGGTGGGAATTGGCATGTTCCCAGTAATATGCCTGATTTTTATGGTGTTCAGCACAATTGGCACAAAAAGAGTATATTTTGGGAATTGCCATATTGGAAAGATCTTCTTTTGCGCCACAACCTCGATGTGATGCATATAGAGAAGAACTTTTTTGAGAACATCATGAACACTATATTGAACGTCCCAAAGAAGACGAAAGACAACGTAAAATCGAGGTTAGACTTACCCGATATCTGTTCAAGGAGTGAGCTGCATATAAAAAGCAATGGGCAAGTTCCAGTTCCAATATTCAGACTGTCATCAGAAAAAAAGTCTGCGTTGTTCAACTGGGTGGCTTCAGAAGTGAAGTTTCTTGATGGGTATTTTTTATTTATTTTTTTAATTTTTTTTAATATATATAATTTTAATTTATAAATATTTTTTTTTAATAGGAAAAAATTGTTTCGAAGTAAAATCCTCGTAAAGGTTTCGAAGTAAATTCCTCGTAAATTTTCCTAGCAAACTCCTCGTAAAGTGTCTACTACGAGTTTACGAGGAAATTGTTTACTATGCCCTTACGAGGAAAGTATACGTGGAGCTTACGAGGAAATGTTTTCCACGGCTTTACGAGGAAACCTTCCTTCGTAAATTAGCTAGGCCTTTACGAGGAAAATAGGCTTTACGATGAACGGCTTTCGACGAAACACGTTTCCTCATTATTTCCTAGTAAAGGGCCATTTACTAGGAAATAACGAGGAAAACCCGTCATAGTAAAGGACGTGTTTTCTTGTAGTGAGTGATTCTGATTTCTCTTTTCCGAATACAAATCAGCTGCCAGTCATTGTTCAAGATTTGTAAACCACAGAGGCTAAAGTTAATAAATAACAGCACATGTACGTACTTTAAATAATATTTAAATTAGATTTTAATAGTACTACACATAAAACAGTAAACTTGAAAGTTGTGCCCATATCGTCCATGCAATAGCGCCTAGGGAGCTCGAAGAGTGAGGAGGGCAGGATAACCATTGAGGATGCGGAGCGCCACAACTTTATCTCCAGCATTACAGATTCCCTCTTTCTTTGCGAATTGGACAGCGAAACTAATCATGTCCTCTATTTTGGAACCTGCCCCCATCAGCGGAATGACCCCACGGGACAACAAGCCACGACTCGCCACATCAGACGACCGTTCAGAGTAGGTTGAGGACCTAACAACCGAGAGAACAGGAACGCTCGGCCTGCACTTGGCCACAAGCTTTATCGCACTCTTAGCTATGATGATGATAGCCTTTGCTTGCATCTTCTCCGAGTTCCAACTGGCATAAGTGGCTCTCCTCTCGAAGGGCAATACCGGTTTCGGAAGAGTTTCTTTTAGTTTTAGATGCACATCTTTGTAATCGATGGAATTCTCCAACTCTTTGCAGAGGCTTGAGATTCTTTGCAAGGCCGTGTCAGGGTGAGCTTCTTCGTCGGAGCCGGTGGAGAGCATGAGACAATCGGTTGTGCAATTGAGGACAGCGTTGGTGAGGTCGTCGTCGTCGTCGGTGGTTTGGCCATCATCACGTACATGTATGACTGTCACGATCGGTCTCCCTAGAGCACCAGCCTTGTCGATAATAATCGAATTACCTCTAGGCAACAACATGACTGCATCAGTTTTCTCCATAATCTCATCTACATTAGATGCTGCTTCTTTGAAATCAAATTTCAATACGAACAAAATAAATATAAAAATTGTTATGAGCACAACAAGATGAAACATTTCACCTTTGACATAAGCATGATGGTGTGTACGTGCTCTCCGAGAAATCCTCTGACCTCGTCTAGATCAGATCCTTTACGAACAGAGGAAAGAGTAAGGATATTGATCTTATTCGGAATTCCCCATTGAAGAATATCATTTTTATCTTTCTGTGTAAGGGTGGTGGGAACAGCCCCACGGAGATTATCAATCTCTCCTTCTCCAGTTCCAGTTCGTATCTCAGGACCCTATAAAAAGCAAAATGTTAAATATATATACATACACTAGAACGAAATCCCAAAGTGAATTTTGATTATGACACAAAAACAAAAACAAAAAAAGTTTGTACCTTAGTGTCGAGCATGACGGCGCAAAGAATACCAGTATTGTGTATGGCTGTTCTGAGATTAATGAGAGTTTCTTGATGGTATGCGTGAGACCCCTCAGATAAATCGAATCGGGCAACATTCATGCCAGCTTCGAGAAGCTTCTCTATCATCACAACGGATCTAGACGCCGGTCCAAGTGAAGGATAAAGTCAAATGCCGAGTTTTTAGGAGTTTATTTTAGTAGTTGAGCAGTTATTTGAGTTGGTTTTTATTTGAATAAATCCTCCCTAGTATCTTGGGAGTTGAGTGTTTTTAGGATCTTAGCTTGAGCTTTACGTAAGCTCCATCTATTTAAGCTTTTTGTATTCATGAGTTATTCAATAAGATTTACAGAGCTCTTTCAGTTTCTCTTTGTTCTCTACTCTGTTTTTCTAATCTAACAAGTGGTATCAGAGCCTTGTGCTCGAGTATTCAGAGTTTACCAAAACGTGTGAGAGAATGAGTGAGAAAGAGTCATCGTTGAACATTCCCAAGTTCGATGGGGATTATGAGCATTGGGCAATGCTCATGGAGAACTTGCTCCGTTCTAAGGAATGGTGGGAGCTTGTTGAGACAGGGATCGATCAATCAGTGGTGGGAGTGGTCTTGACAGACGCTCAGAAGACAGAACAAACAGAGATGAGGCTTAAAGATCTGAAAGTGAAGAATTACCTTTTCGCCTCAATTGACAAGAACATCCTCAAGACGATAGCGAAGAAAGAGACCTCAAAAGACATCTGGGAGTCAATGAAGGTGAAGTATCAAGGGAACAAGAGAGTGAGAAGTGCACAGTTACAGAGACTCAAGAGGAATTTTGAAGTATTAGAGATGAAGGAAGGCGACTCAATTACTGAGTATTTCTCAAGAGTCATGGTGGTTGCAAATGATATGAGAAATCTTGGTGAGGATATGCAAGATGACAAAATTGTTGAGAAGATTCTTCGTACGTTGGTGGAGAGGTTCACCTACATTGTGTGTGCAATTGAAGAGTCAAAGGACATCAAAGAACTCACCGTTGATGAGCTGCAGAGTTCATTACTGGTGCATGAGCAAAATCTTACCAAACATACTGGTGATGAGCTTGCTTTAAGGATGGAAGGTGGAAGAGGAACGGGAGGACACAATCAGAGAGGTGGATATCGTGGTGGAAGAGGAGGTTATGGAAGAGGAGGAAGATCAAGCTTTGACAAGAGCAAGATCGAGTGCTACAAGTGTCACAAGATGGGACACTTCAAAAATGAGTGTCCTAGTTGGGAGAAAAGTGCAAACTACGTTGAACTGGAGGAAGATGTATTGCTTATGGCGCAAACAGAAGCCGGTCTTAATCACGTGTGGTATCTGGATTCAGGATGTAGTAATCACATGTGTGGAGTCATGGAGTGGTTCTCTGATTTTGATGACAAATTTCGTCAGCAAATTAAGCTTGGAGATGATCGGAAGATGCTAGTGGAGGGAAGAGGAAGTCTTAGATTGGAGATCAATGGAACTACTCAAATGATATCTTCAGTCTACTATGTTCCAGGCTTGAGAAACAACCTTCTAAGTGTTGGACAGTTGCAGCAGAAGGGACTGAGGATAGTGATTGAAAAAGATGTCTGCGAAATTTGGCACAAGCAGCAAAGAAGACTTCTGATGCAATCTTTCATGTCTACAAATCGCATGTTCGTTGTGAAGGCTAAAGTGAGAGAACCTAGTGGAGAGATGCAACTGAATCAGGTACAAAACTCGGTGGTGGAGACAGAGGAACTATGGCACAAAAGGTTTGGAGATTTGGCAAACAACAGTATACAAGTCTTGGCAGAGAAGGAGATGGTGAGTGGCTTACCCAAGATCAAGACTGAAGAAGGTGTATGTGAAGTGTGCATGAAAGGTAAACAGAACCGAGAAGCAATTCCAAGGAAAACCGTATGGAGAGCAAGTCGTGGACTGGAGCTAGTACACAGCGACATCTGTGGTCCCATATCACCAACATCAGAGAGTGGGAAAAGGTATATAATCAACTTTATTGATGATTATAGTCGCAAATGCTGGACTTACTTTCTTACAGAGAAGTCTGAGGCATTCAAAGTGTTCAAGGAATTCAAAAGTGCTACAGAAAGAGAATCTGGAGGTTTGTTGGCTTGTCTGAGAACTGACAGAGGTGGAGAGTACAACTCCAAGGTGTTTGAGGAGTTCTGTGCAGAACAAGGCATCAAGAGGCAGCTCACAGCCGCTTACACACCTCAACAAAATGGAATTGCAGAGAGGAAAAACAGGAGTGTCATGAACATGGTGAGATGCATGTTGTTTGGAATGAAGGTGCCCTTGAGATTCTGGCCAGAAGCGGTCCAATATGCTGTTCACATACTCAACCGTAGCCCAACAAAAATACTTGGAGATGTTACGCCAACAGAGAAGTGGAGTCACCACAAGCCTTCAGTTGAACACCTCCGCGTCTTTGGCTGCACTGCGTTTGCTCTAGTACCATATGAAAGAAGAGTGAAGCTTGATGAGAAGAGCATTAAATGTGTGATGTTTGGTGTGAGTAAGGAGTCTAAGGCTTACAGATTGTATGATCCAAGTGCAAAACGGATCATCATCAGTAAGGATGTAAGGTTTGATGAGAAAAAAAAGTGGAATTGGGAAGAAAAAACTGAGGAAGACAAGTTTGTTGAGTTTAATGAAGAAGATGAAGTACAAGAGAGATCGCCTGAGACACAAAATCAAGAAGTTGAGGGAGTTGGAAACGCTGGTTCACAGAATGAAGAGGAAGAAAGAACTGCAGAAGAGACGAGTGCAGAAGAAGTAAGCTCAGACGCAGACAGAAGTAGGACAGGCAGAAGCAAGCAAAAACCAGTATGGATGAGAGATTATATTTGTGAAGACAGAGGTTTGATCACAGAGGAGGAAGAAGAAGATGGTGAGATGATGGCAATGTTTGTTGATCTTGCAGATCCTGTGAAGTTTGAAGAGGCCGTAAGACAAGAAAGATGGAGAAATGCAATGACAACCGAGATCAAATCAATTGAAGAAAACGACACATGGGAACTGATGGAACCACCAGCAAACATCAAAGTAATAGGAGTGAAGTGGGTATACAAGACGAAGCTTAATGAAAGAGGAGAGGTAGACAAGTTTAAGGCAAAATTGGTGGCCAAGGGGTTTCATCAAACACATGGAGTGGACTTCTATGAAGTGTTTGCACCAGTGGCTAGGTGGGACACTATTAGAATGATTCTTGGAGTGGCTGCACAACAAGGATGAAGTGTATTTCAGCTAGATGTGAAGAGTGCATTTTTACATGGGAAGCTGGATGAAGATGTATATGTAGAACAACCATTGGGATTCATAGTTGAAGAAGAGAGACACAAAGTTTACAAGCTTAAAAAGGCCTTGTATGGTCTTAAACAAGCACCCAGAGCTTGGTACAGCAGGATTGAGAGCTACTTCACATCAGAGGGTTTCAAAAAATGTTATTGTGAGCATACCCTGTTCGTGAAGATGGAAGAAGAGGCAACAATCATTGTAAGTCTCTATGTTGATGACTTGATCTATACAAGTAACTCAATGCAGATGATGGAAAAGTTCAAGGCATCTATGGAGAAAGAGTTTTCAATGACAGACCTAGGAAGAATGAAGTATTTTTTGGGGGTGGAAGTGACTCAAGACGTTCATGGGATCTTCATTAGTCAGAGAAAGTACGCAACAGAGATTCTGCAACGATTTGGGCTAGACAAATGCAACTCGGTGAAGAATCCAACAGTTCCTGGCTTGAGGTTGACGAAGGAAGGAACATGAGGGGCTGTAGATTCAACAGAGTTCAAGCAACTGATTGGAAGCTTACGTTACTTAACTGCAACAAGACCTGATCTCATATATTCTGTGAACTTGGTGAGTCGATACATGGAGAAACCTACTGAGCAACATATGTTAGCAGCCAAGCGTATCATGAGGTATGTGCAAGGAACTCTGAACTATGGGATACAGTATAAGCGTAATGGAGAAGAAGGGCTAGTAGGCTTTGTGGACAGTGACTATGCGGGTGACAGTGACGACAGAAGAAGCACATCGGGTTATGTCTTTATGCTTGGAGGAGGAGCTGTAGCGTGGTCCTCGAAGAAGCAACCTATTGTCACTCTATCAACCACGGAGGCAGAGTATGTATCTGCAGCTAATGGAGCGTGTCAAGCAATTTGGATGAGAAACATTCTCAAAGAAATTGGGTTTGATCAAGGGAACTTCACAACACTTTGGTGCGACAACAGTTCTGCAATCAAACTAGCAAGAAACCCTGTTCTACACGGAAGAAGTAAGCATATTCATGTTAGGTTTCACTTCCTACGTGATTTGGTAAAAGAAGGTACGATTAGCTTGGAGTACTGTCCAACAGAGAACCAGTTGGCGGATGTGATGACTAAACCGGTGAAGCTGGAAGTATTTGAGAAGCTCAGAAGTGATATGGGAGTTTGCGTGAAGGTTGATTAAACAGAGTGTTTTCAGTTTACAGGAGGGATTGAATGATAAAGTCAAATGCCGAGTTTTTAGGAGTTTATTTTAGTAGTTGAGCAGTTATTTGAGTTGGTTTTTATTTGAATAAATCCTCCCTAGTATCTTAGGAGTTGAGTGTTTTTAGGATCTTAGCTTGAGCTTTACGTAAGCTCCATCTATTTAAGCTTTTTGTATTCATGAGTTATTCAATAAGATTTACAGAGCTCTTTCAGTTTCTCTTTGTTCTCTACTCTGTTTTTCTAATCTAACACCAAGTGTCCAAGCAATCTTAGTCTTTGCCGCTCCTTTCTTAAATCTTTGTGTTCCATACATATACTCCATTGTCAATAAAACTACAAAACACGTTTTATAGATAGGTAAGGGACATATACATATATATAACAACCGAGAAACGGATCTGCCTTGTCCGAAAAGTAACGACCTTTGTTTTGCTTCTAGATCACGGTTTCGCGGAGACGGCGTAGAAAAGAGGGAGACTAAGCGCGATGTTATGCGCCGGTGTCGTAATAGGGGATCTCTCTGCGTTCGTTTGTGATGGCGGCTAGGTTTTTTTTTACCAAAATATGTTAGGTTTAAATACACATATCTCTTTATAAATGTGTTTATTTCCCTCTTAAGAGCACCACGAGCCGAGTCACAGAGATTGACCTTGACATTATGATAAAAGTTGGGAACCTGACGGAACTCACTGTCCTTAGCCTCTCAATAGAAACTTATCTTTCAGTTTTTAACAACTTAAACGTAAAGGCATTTCAAAAGAGCCAATTGACACTAATGTTACCAAGCCAGATCAAAAGAGGAAACTGAGCTAAAGCTACAAAGATCAAGAGGTAGTGATGCCTGCTTGAGTCATAACTCCTAGCTTCAGCAAAGAGAACTCGCTTCATTGTCTTCACCAAGAAAACACCGGTGCATAAGCAGGTCCACGGAATCAAAACATAGTAAGAGTATCCCCACATGATCTTGCCAAAAACAGCTAAGCAGAGACCAGTGTAAGCATATCCAGCGTATGCCACAATATCCAAGAGTGGTACTTCTCCACTACCCAGTGAAATCAACGTTATCTTGAGCAGCATGACTTGCATAAACCATCCAACCATTCCTTTCACAAAAAGCCAGTTCAGAGCTTCCGGAGAAAACCTACCACAAGGATCAAAATGGTTGAAAAAGACATATACACATGACTAGATATAATGTAAGTAAGGAACTTACTTCCCATAGAGTCCAAGTGAGAAACCAGCAAGAACAAGATAGGTGCCAAAGGCCATGAGCGGAATGTATAAGTCTGGTGCATTAATATCATATATAGGAGGCTTGTATGAAAGTCTACCACCAACTGGTTCTGAGATTCTAGCCCAGTGTCCCTGAGCTTACAGCAAAACTCATAAGACCCCCAAACACATAAACACCATACCAAAACAAAGTAAGCCTTCTTATTACCCTGTGAAGGAAAGGAAGAAGAACAACCTTCAACTTGTTCCTCACATATTGGTCATTCACTTGAAAATAGTATTGTGGATCAGAGAAGAAACGAGTTATCTGTTCATATCAAACAACTAGAGTTAATAAAAACAAATGAAACGCAAAGTTATTGAATACAAGGAGAGTTTATAACTTACATTGCTCTGCACATACTCAGAGCTGGATCCGAATATTTTCTCACCATAAGCACCCAAGCTACTTCGAATAAGGCCAGAGCCAGGTCCAGAGAAGGCATTGCCGAAAGGGTTAGGCTGAGGAACTGCCTGAGGCATTGGCATCCCAGGCTGTGGTCCCATGTTGTTGTTATACATCTCTGCCATTCAACACAAAAAAAAATTAAATTTATCAAAATGCGCAAAGAAGAAAACTTTACTTGAATATGATTCTTGTTTTAACAACCCAACAACCAAATGTTCTTTCTTTCAATCTATTAGGCAATCAAAGAAAAGATCAATTATATATTTCCTTCGTAAGGGTTGGAGCCTCGCAGCAGAAACTACGACATTGCTAGTATAATACACGCAAACCTGAAGGAAGCTGTGAAGGAGATGACAGATCGAGAACCCTGCTTTCTCGGTTGAGTTCTGGTGGAGTAAGATCCAAGGAAGGAAGGTCATGTGAGAGACTCGCACGTGTGAGTTTGAACCAATCAGTATATGACACGTATTATTCATAATTCATTTTATTTAGGGGTTGGATTATATGTAAAACCAAAGTTTAAGGTTTTTTATGCGAAATATCTAATGTTCAGGGTTTGAATTGAAAAAAGCGTCCAAGAGAACGAAGAAGGAAGTGATTCTCTCGCGATAGAGAAGAGAAAAGTTTGAGACTTTGTTTGGGAGATGGAGATTCCAAGCTCTGATGAGATACTTGAAAGTATGAGCTCTTGTCTCTCTCAGATCAAATGGCGACTCAAGCTCTCTTCAAAACGCCGCCTCGAAATAGGTTTCCATCTTTCACTCTCACAGATTCTGTATCAGATTATGAAGCTTGAGGATGCTTTTGTTTCAGATTCAGTTTTTGCTTGGTGGGTTTATTAAGTATTTAAGTTACATTATTTGTTAGGGATAAATCATTAAAAGTTTTGAACTTTGGCATCATCATCATCACTAGACTCTAGTATAATGATCTCTGTAAGAGATGCTTAAACGGGTTTTATTGGGAACAGATGTGCTGGCACTATGCACGGGGATGAGACCAGTTGTGATGATTGACTATGGTGGCAAGTTGCCTGAGCTACAAGACCGCTTGATTTCTCTTCTTGAGCTTCTCCATGAGGTTAGTCTCTACTTCCTTCTTCAGTCACATTACTACTTGAGTATGTCTCTGAGGTGATTTTGTTCATGCTTGTGTCCTCTAGGCTTTACCGATTTTCAAAGCTCTGAGGGTCATGGTTATAGAGGATATGATTTACTTGATCAATGTAAGAACTCTGTCCAAGTGGTTGAGTTCAGAACCTGAATTGTTCTTCGTTGACCTGGAACAAGATCCTCCACAGGTTTCTCTTTGTTTCAGTGCTTTCTCTTTTCATGCTCCATCTCTTTAATTGGACTGAACTCAGTCTTGCTTTTTTTGTTCAAGATGGTAGAACAAAGCAAAGAATGCAGTCTAGGGATGGAACTTAAGTTGATTCAGAAGCTATTCTCCTCGACGTTTCCTTTAGATGGCGGCAATAATGATACCAAAATAGCTTTAGATGAAGCCAAGTCTTCTCAGTCTTCTTTATTTATTGATCTTAGTTGTTGTTTACAAGACACTAAGGTTACAATCCCTACATTAAACGGGTAATTTTCATATCCAACTCTTCACTCATCCATCATATAATATCAAGCCATGAAGTTTGGTGGTGTTCAATCTGTATTTGCAGATGGCTCCTGGACTATCCGGTTGTGTATTTATTCGGCACAGATCACATAGAAGATGCAATCTATAACCTCTCAACCAAGTCTCTCCGCATCTTCAAAGTTCTAGTACAAAGGTTAGTTGATCTTATACCTTTTTGAACATTATTCTGATGACTAACTTAAAGATTTTCCAGGAACGTTATAACTGGAGAAGACTCTCATTTAGAAGAGCTAACAAGGTAAGAGTCTCAAAACCAAGACTGTGATTCTGCTGACTAAACAGCAATTCATTTATGAAAATAACCAAGTGTATTTTTGCAGTTTTTCGGTGCCATATGAGCTGAGTATGGGAGCTAGCAAGGAAGTCTGGGCTGATTCATTTCTAGAGAAGATGAATTCGAGGTGGGAAGAATGCAAACACATTTGGAGTTCATTGGATCTGCAAGTTTCTGAATGCTATCCTCAAGCAATTGTTCTTTAATGCTTTTCCTACTCAAACACATGTCGTTCACTAAACTTGGTAACTGAGATTTTATTCATAAGGTAACAGAATCAAAACAGTTCTATGAACACAGAACCAAAACACAAAGCCAACAAAAAAAAAGTAAATCGTTCAATCTTATAAGTTCCAGACTTGTTGTAGATCAGTTTGCATTGAGGAGAGTTTCAACTTCAGACACTGTAGGAAGAGCTGGAATTGCTCCTTTCTTGGTAGTTGTAATGGCTCCACATGCATTAGCAAACTTAAGCACTTCTCTAAGACGAGCTTCATCCTGTAGTTAAAAGAAATAAGTACACAGATTCAAAACTGGTACAGACTGATCTGATATATTGGTTTATTTGTATTTTTGTTACCTCAAGAACAGAGCGATCATCAACAATGTTGCAAAGCAACGCACCAACATATGAATCACCAGCACCAGTTGTATCCACAGCGTTCACATGGAAAGGATCAACAGATCCACGGAAGCTCTGGAATCATACAAGAGCAAACAAAACAACGTAAGTAACAATTAATGGTAAAGAAAACTCTTCAACAACTATTTACCTTGGTGTAATAGTTACAACCCTTTTCACCCAAAGTGACCAAGAGAAGTTTCAAGTTATCATGCCACAGAGACAAAGCAGTCTCATCATCAACATTATCAGATCCGGTCAAGAACATAAGTTCTTCATCGCTGACTTTGATCACTTCAGCTTTGTCCCAGATGCTGAGAATCTGCTTCTTAGCCTCTTCCTTGGAAGGCCACAAAGGCAGCCTCAAGTTTGGGTCGTAAGAGAGCAACGCACCAGCTTCTTTAGCCACCTCCATGGCCTTCAAGTGAGCAGATCTACATGGCTCAACGATGAGACTTATTGATCCATAGTGGAACACCTTAGCCTGTAAAAAAAAAAAAACAGAGCACTTCATTAACCTTAGCTTGACCTCTACGTTTGGTTTATCAACAAACGCTACAAACAAACCTAACTTCACCTCTACGTTAGGTATCAACAACCATTACATACAAAAGTTTAAATTAAAGTTAAACTATAGTAGCAAGTGTTAACTTGACATGTGCGTTATGTTATCAATAACCGTTACATAAAAACATAACTTCATCTCCACGTTAGGTGTAGAAACAACCGTTACATACAAAAACATAATCAGAAGTTATCTAAAAGTCAAAATAACGTACAGATCTGATGAGGTCGAGGTTAAGTTCATCAGGACGGAGGAGCATATCGGCGCTAGGGTTCCGGTAAAACATGAACTCACGTTCTCCATCAGATCTAAGCGTCACGAACGCAAGCGCCGTCCTGGCTCCAGTATCGAAGTTGATACCTTCGGCAGAGACACCATTTTGCTTCAAGATTCCGGCGAGCATGTGACCGAACTCATCGTCACCGAGCTTTCCGACAAAAGCAGCACGACCACCGAGACGGGAGACAGCAATAGCAACGTTGGCAGGTGCACCACCAGGGGCTTTGATGAAGCCAGGAGCTTCAGAGAGGGATACGCCAGAGACGGTGGGGACAAAGTCGATGAGCATCTCGCCGAAGCTCACGATCAAGCTTTTCTCGCCGTTGGATTTAGTCATTTTGTGGTTGGAGAGTGTTTTATATTACAGAAAACGAAGGAGATATTGCGTTTTGGATATGAGATGTAGAGAACGAAGAAGGGTTTATATACAAGTGTGTGTAGGATCGAATGCACTAGACAAAATTAATTTTAATGAAACTTATTAGATTTATCCAGTTAAACTTGTTTTTATCCGAAATATTGGAAATTGTATTAGTAAGTAATTAAAACCAAAATATTTGATTGGTTAAGTTCATGATATTCTGATCTTTGGTTTAGTCAAATCCACTAGAATTTTAATTAATTTCAGTTGAAATTTAATACATTAAGCGAGTAAAAATTGTTTTATCCGAAATATCGGAAATTGTATTTGGTAACAAATAATATCGAATATTTGATTGATCCATTTCATTATGTTATGATCTTTATGAGAACATTGATTGGTCCTTTGAAACGGATTTTTTGCTTGTTAATGTGGAACCAACGTAACGTCTTTTGCAAGGTTTACTAATTACTAGGGATTGTTGGATAAAGATATCTAATCCTCTTTTATTTTCCGATTTTTTATTTGTTAGAATTACTTTCATTATCTACAATGCACATTTAAGGGATACTAAATCCAAAAATTTAATGTGAGATTTTATACACCTTTAATGATACTTATCCTTTCATATTCCCATATTTTTGTATTTATCATTAATCAACGGAATTTCCTTCAATTCTAAGACGTTAAATCAGTTTCAGAATTTATTGATAAGAACAATTTTAAAACGAAAAAGGTCAAACTACTTGGTAAATGCTATAAGTAACAGATACGAATTACCCAATAAAATAAACGTATGCATGCATTCCAAAAAGGTATTCGATCAGTTTCATTGTTGTCTTTAAAAACAAACACAAAAATGAATGATTTAGATGAGAAATGGTAAAAGGATTTTTTTTAATATATAAGTTGTGACTTTCTTACTTCAAAAACCGTCAATTAAGAATCAAAATGATGCGAGGTTGAGTATTTATTTTTTCTTCAACAAAAAATGTTAGGTATTTAGCAACAAAAAAAAAAAAAAGACAATGCAAGGTAGTCATCCAAAAATAGATCTGTATATCTATATATATGTTTCAGAAAATGCAAAATAATCTAAAATGAGCTAAAAAGAAGTGGTTAACCTTAGCTATGATTGGTGTTAGTGGGTGCGCTGAGTTGTGCAAGAAAAAAACCACTTTTATCATGAGGTAGGCCTGGGCATCCGGGTCCTCGGGTCGGGTCGGGTCCTATCGGGTCCGGGTCCGGGTCTTTCGGGTCTTGGAAATTTATACCCATATGGGTACTTATGATTTTTCGGGTCGGTTCCGGGTCGGATCTTGCCGGATCCGGGTCGGTTCGGGTCTATAACTCCAACACCTGTAAAATATCTGTAATTTTCGGATCCGGGTATATAGAATCTAAAAACTACATAACATATCCAAACTCACTCAAATTCAGTCAATATTTTCATATATATCTAAAATTTTATAAAATAACTTAAATTAAACTATTAATAACTAAAGAAAACATATTTAAACTCTAAATTTTACATTTTAAAACTTTATATTACTTAAAAATGTTACAAATAATAATAAATATTGTTAACAAAAGATATTTCAACTAAATTATAAAATAGTATAGATATATAAAACATAATACAAAAATAATAGTTTTGGATATAGATGTTTATAAGTCGGGTACAAATCGGTTCTTATCGGGTTGGGTCTATTCGGGTCGGTTCTTTTCGGATCCGGTTCTATTCGGGTCGGTTCTTTTCGGGTCCGGGTCTATTCGGGTAAAAGAAATTTAGACCCAATAGATACTTATAAATTTCGGGTCGGGTATTTTCGGGTCGGTTCCGGTTCGGATCTTTGGGTCCGGGTAAAATGCCCAGGCCTATCATGAGGCATCTGACCGCTTAATTTGAGAAGAAGTATGGACGTAAGATTGGTCGTGGATGAAACAAGTTAGAGCATCTCCAATGATGTTATCCACCATGAGTTCTTAGCAATATAATAATAATTTATTTTTGAATAGTTAAGGATTTTAATCATAAATATTTTTCCACTGGTATTATTCATTAGGTCATGATTATTGCTAAATCTAGTTTTTGAGTTTCTTAAAATAAAAATTTTCTAACTAAATTTTTTTTTTTAAGGGAATCAATCGCGAACCGCCACGTGTCAGTGGAGCTTGCAAAAAGTGCAAAAACCACACCAAAGTCTATCCTTATTCTGTGACTTTCGTCACCGATTTTACTGATTTTGTAGGGCCCTCAGCGTTACTTTTTTCTGAGAAATCATGTTAAGGATCTGGGATATTGATACTCTTATGGAATTCTTAGGAGAAAAAAATATTAAATTTTAAAATATGTAAAATTAATTTTAATATGAGAAAATGACTTTAAAAAATCTAAAAAAATATTTTTGTCACAAATATAGTCTATAAAGAAAAAATGATTAAAATAGACTTTATTAAAGAATGTAAAAACACATTTATACTCTTTGGATTAACTATCTAGACTTAAGGTTTAGAGTTATGGGGTTTAGGGATTAGGTTTAGGTCTTACGGTTTAAACTTTTTTTCAAAGTTAAAAATTTCAACAATCGAACGTTGCCACGTTATTAAAGATAAGTCCTTAAAATGTCTTAGTTAAGGACGGATCCTTAGCTTAAACAAATTAAAGAATATTATTTAAATTTATTTGCCTAAAAATACATGCTAAAGATTTGGTTAAATCCCCCGTTGTGGGTGCTCTTATGTCTATTTGTCATGTATCTTGTTATATTCTGATGTTGACTGCTAATTTTGGATGTTGTAGAATGATCGTGAAGGGTTATGGTAGTTTTGGATTTCTACACCAACTTTGGCAACATCCGCTTCAACTGCTGGAATACTAGTAAATATACTCTTTAGACTTTAGTTTTATGTCAAGAATCAAGAAAGTTTTGTCAATGAGAGACTGATGAGGTCTACAAGAATACAGTATACAAAAAAGATGCTTTCTGATTCTATTATATCAACTCTTGTGCATTGCAATGGATTTCATGATTGATTAATGGTGATGCTAATGGAGCTAGAGGTTACAACAGTGGAGAACCATGATAAAATGGGGAAAGCAATGATTGAACAAGACAATAACAACCATAATGAGATATAGGCTGGACCGATATTGGGCCAAGACTGATAAAACATTGGTTTTGGGTTCCAAATTTTTTGGAAAAAATTACAGGTATATAAACACCAAAAAGATATTTTTTAGTCCCTCAAATCTATAAAAGAAAAGTATTAGGTGAAATTGTTAAAAAGTCGTCTTAAACCCACTAATTCTTAGGACCGGTCCTGGACATAGGTGAAAATTCTGTTCAAGCAATGCCTCTTAAGCAAAATGAAAAAGTAAATATGGTGGTGGTATTGGAATAAGCTCGTCTCAAGAGTGGATTCAAGAAGAAGATTATGAATCTAAGGATTATAAAATGAAGAATGCTGCAACCTGAGTCAAAGGAAAAAAGAAAGTTTTATTAGTCACGTGCTTTGAATAAAAAAAATCATATTATAGAATAAGAATAAGAATAATTAAATTTAAATTTTTTAAAATAGAAAATTTCCAATTATATGTACTAGAGCGTTTCTCCGGCTACACCCAAGTTAATTTTCATAAATTCTTAATTCAATTAAAATATTATGGTATTTATATTTAAATATGTAATATTATATTGGAAAATTTTGACAAAGATAAATTATAGACACTAAGTTTAACCAATTAGAATGGAAAACATTAATAATGATAAAAAAAACACATATTACATTATTTGAAATATTCTTACAGTAAAAATAGGTTAAAACTTCAATAATTTAAAATTTTGATTTCCTAACTCTTTTGTTCATTCTATTTGATTCGTATTGTATAATTAGTGGCTTAGAGTTCAAGTTCTTACCAGTAAAACAAATCTTTCTAGAGTAACATGATAAATAAAATTGTTGAATTTTCTAACAATTTCTAAAGTGTTGGATCTAATAATTTTATTACCTTGATTAAAGGTAAACAGTTAATTTATTGAATGTTTTCTGAAATTTCATAAATATTTTTAGATGTAATTGGTAAGTGCTTTGAGTATTTTTCACAGTTCTTTTTATTTTTACAACAATTTTAATTTATCAATTATTGTGTAAGAAAACAATTTAAAACTACAACCCAAAAGTTAAATTAGGAAATTATATTTGTTTTATAATATTTTTTGAAATATATATATATATATATATATATATTATAGTATTTTGAAAGTAGTTAATTAATCTACATCAATCTAATCTAAAGGCACACAAAAAAAACTTACAACTTACATTCTAAAACAAAATAAGCAAAGTCACATCTTCTACCAATCCAACCCTTCATGAGGTTCTTATGTTATGAAAACTTAATATCTCTACTAAATACTATTTTCTATATGTTTTTCGAAGATAAATATTATATTTTCGAACACTATTAGTTGTCATGAGGTTTTTATTTTTCAAAGATAGAAGACATTATAGAAATTAGATACTTTATATTTTTTCTATTGCCGATAGGTGAATTCCACTATTGACCCCCATTAAAGAAAAGAAAATAGCTGCAAATCAACATCTGGTATAATACAATTCAAATAGATTATTAAATAGAAATCAAATAATATTTTCTGCAAAAATAATTATTTAATAAGTGTTTATATATAAACTTGTGGATTACATATTCTATGTTATTAAATTTAGAAGAATTTTAATTTTACCAAATTTTAGATCGCTTTTTCAATTTACTTTTAAAATATAATTATTTTCATAAATATTTTAAGCATGTGATGAAAAAATAAACTAACGCTTCTAAATCATTTTATAAATATTTGAGAATAATTTTTAAATATTTATAGAAGTTTATAAACTCAACCTCACCTCCTAAATGTTAAATTATAAATAGTTACTAAATCGTATATCCAAATGTTACAATATTGTTGTCTGAAGGTAATACTATAAAGTGATACATAAATTTTTTTTTTTACCAGAAAATACCAACCTTCATCAAAATTACGAATCAAACAAATCAGAATCCAAATGGAAATAACTAAAATAACCGCAAAATTATAAACTTTGATAAAAAAAACAAATCAATCTTTTTTGTTGATTCCCTTCAGTAAGATTTTGGTCAACTCGACTATGTATATCATGTACTTAGTTACCTAATAAGTAGGCGAAATCATGTATTCTTAGAGTATCATTTTCAGTAACTTATGATTCGTTAAATTTTAAAATTTATTGGATATCTATCAAGGAAAATACTACCTCTTCTATATTTTTAAAAATAATGTTACAGATTATGTAACTATTAAAATTATTATTGTGTTAAATTCTAATTAATTTGTTTTAATTTGAAATTAAAATATAAGTTAAAATGCAATAATAGAATTGTAAAAACTAAAATTATTAAAAAATAGATATTTAAGTTTTTATGTGTAAAATATTTAAAGTATCATTCTCGCAAATACAAAGAGAAAATATATATATATAAAATACTGAAAACCTGCATGTGGCTTATATAATTTGGAATACGTTTTTGTCAAATATAATTTACAATAATTATCTAAAAAGTAAAAAAACGTTAACTGGATTGTTTGACATATTATTAATATAGCTCCACAAATCTGTTGGCAAAAACAAACCAATCATCAAAAGATTACTCACATATCAGCAACGTAATCAGTGACAAACTTGTTTGAAACATATACATTGCGCTAACTTTTGCCACATTGAACATATATCAACTCTAGGGTCTAGAAAGTTTTGGGGCATTAAAAATAGTTATGAAAACCTTGTTTCATCTGTTGGTCAACTTTCAAGTGCTGCAAATAATAATTCTTGTTGAGGGAACTGAAAACATAACAAATCTTTTAATTTTCCCGAACTGAACATTGCTTCTATAAGAGCTTTGCTATTGTTAACGTAGTAAACACAGTTGACATTCATTTAGAAGATCAAGACCATTTGATAGAACCCAGAGAGTGGTATCTTCAACTGAATACTGTAACATGAAAAGAATAAAGAAACAATAGTTCGCGAGAGACCATTATATTTCAGTTTAAATAATATATACCATTAAAGATTAAACATAATCGGTTACCAATAAATTTATGTCTTCAATATGATGGTCATAGTTGGACTCTCTCCTCACGAGAACATAAACCAGCCAAGACAGCTCGTAGTTTTCTACATCGTTAAGACCTTTGTTTCCAAGGAAGACCTTTTCAAAGGAGCAACATGAAAAAATAAATAGATAAGTTTGGGACTAATGTATACAGCCACACAACACATAACAAAATGAAATAGCAAACGTCTCAAAGCATCTCACCTTGATCATGGCAGGATGATCGCGCACATTAATTATTACCGGGCTAAGGAGTACCGTAGTGGATATTCTAGACTTCTTCTGGAACTTTTGGTGCAGTATCAACTAAGTCATTGATCTTAACCTTAAATTCTTCATGATCTCTCAGTGTCCAGGAAATGAAAATGTTCTTTAGAGAAGAAACTTAGGTATAAATGAGCGAGGATTAACAAACCAGGCTCTGCAATCATAACAAATAATGAGACAAAATTAAACTTACTAATGCGACCACACGTCTGAAGGAATCCTGCACAAGTTATTTCAGCCATGAACAGCCAAGAATCGTAGTTCAGGCGTGCATCTCTAACCTCAAGGTAGAAGATTCATATAAGCAAAGCTTTAAAGGAAGATAGATATAGTTACACTTGATATACCTCTGGAGCTCAGAGGTCTTTGGTTCCTGATTAGATGGAAAAGAATTCAGCCTCATTTGCTTGTCTCCTACACAAATGATGGCTCTCTGCAGTATAGTCTGTGATAGATGCATTGAATCCTCATGTTTCATTGTAATCAATTTGTGGAATGTTACTTCAATCGGTGAAAAGATTAAAAGTTCTTGTGGAATGGTTATTTGTGTAAATGAGAAGATACCATGTAAACGTGATCCCTGGCAAGAGATGGACATTTCCAATAAAAAAAATAAAAATATACAATTGAATTAGGGGAAGTGGGGAGATAGAGCCATTAGATGTTGAACTTGAAAAAATGAATCAGACCATGTAGAAGATCTGTAGCCCATCAAATATGACCTTGTCTGATCCAAACATGTAATCTCGGCTTATGACAAAAAAAAAAAGCTCAATCAGATTATGAGAATTCAAAAAAAGCCAGACAAAATGAAAATTCGGGCCTTAACAACATCGGATGACCTCAAATATAGAAGCAGTGTCTCCGGCCGATAAAGCTCATTATTATCAGAGATCTTCACAAGTAATCCTTGAAATTCATCACAGTCAATGAAAAAGATCTAGAAAGCTATGTAATCAGGTTGAAGATACACCATTGAACGCTTACTCCCAACAATCCTTAGGCCTAAAGAGGTTTAATGATCCTTCGACTGTGCACCGATAGATTTTCCAATTTATCCAGTGAGATGGTCATTGTCATTGGCGAAGATGTTGCTGGTAGAGTAAGAGTGGAGTAGCGAACCCAAAGACAGAGGACATGGAAGATAATAAGAGCTTCTTCTTCGCCAGTGAGGAAGAGATATATATGAAACAGAAGAGGCGATTGCGGCGAGCTTTGGAGGAGAGAAGATTGTCAATCCGCAAGGCCTTGAGCCTTTTATGGCCTATAAGAAAGATAACCAGTCTCAATCTTTACTGGAAATGAATCGTTATCTTCTAGAGAATGAAACTGAATGGACTTTATAGAAAACATAAGAGATTTATTGCTGAAATGTGTTGCTTTATTTCATTGGCAATATAAAAAGAACGATTCCATTGCAACTAAACTGACGTGGCTTACATTCATAGGCTTGTTTTTAAGAAATCAAATGACATGGCATATCTTGTTGTTTTCATTGGTTGATTTAATATGCCTACGTGGATAGCTTCAGTTAATGGAGCTGATGTCCTCCTTTTACTTGTTGTATGATCTCAACTCAAACATGAGAACTAAATATATCGATCAATAAAGAGTTTCTTCTAGAAAATATTATTCCAAGTTTATTCTCTTTGCTATTCTGAGTTCAATTCAAAAGTTCTCTAATTGTTTCTACATCACAAATCCCAACTGGGCGAGGTTCAGGCGGATGCCGAGGGTCTTGGGTCTTAAGAAGGTTGGAAAAAAATGTGACCACTTATCAAAACATAAAAAAGATAAGTAAATATGTACTAACATAATCTCGAAACTGGCTTGCCCAAATTAAGTCTATTTACTGCATCTTAAACCACTAGACTAAAGCAATATTTTGCAAAAATGTGGCCAGATTTTGTTCTTAAAATTGTCAACCATAAATATGGGCTTCATTGACTTGGCCTAAGGGCCGGTTCTGGAAGGATGAGCCTTATGCTGGTCAGGAGTCAGGAGTTTGTATCTGAAGCAGCAGCACACGGATCATATCACCAAATTTGCCAAAACAGCAGATGATGTGCATGCAGTTGCTCATTTAGTCTGTCATTTATGCTCTCAAAGAATCAATTACCCGAGTTGATGTTTCTTGGTTAGCTTGTTAGTACTGGTTCATGATTATTTGCTACCACGTCATGTTTGCTGGTTTGGTTCTGATTTTGCCTTTTTTTTCATTTGGTTATGATGAAGTCATGACAGACGAATCTTCGGTTTTCAAAAGGATATTTTTAAAAAATCAATTACCCGAGTTGATGCTTTTTGGTTAGTTTTGTTAGTACTGGTTCATGATTATTTGCTACCACGTTATGTGTGCTGGTTTGGTTCTGATTTTGCCTATTTTTCATTTGGTTATGATGAAGTCATGACTGACGGATCTTCGGGTTTTAGAAATGATATTTTTAAAAAAACTTTTTTTAAAAATGCCTACACACAGGATCGAATTCAGTTTAGTAAAGACTGACGCTTTACCACTGTTTTTGCCTATTTTTTTCATTTGGTTATGATGAAATCATGACAGACGAATCTTCGGTTTTCAAAAGGATATTTTTAAAAAATCAATTACCCGAGTTGATGCTTTTTGGTTAGTTTTGTTAGTACTGGTTCATGATTATTTGCTACCACGTTATGTGTGCTGGTTTGGTTCTGATTTAGCCTATTTTTCATTTGGTTATGATGAAGTCATGACTGACGGATCTTCGGGTTTTAGAAATGATATTTTAAAAAAAACTTTTTTTAAAAATGCCTACACACAGGATCGAATTCAGTTTAGTAAAGACTGACGCTTTACCACTGTTTTTGCCTATTTTTTTCATTTGGTTATGATGAAGTCATGACAGACGGACCTTCGAGCTTTAGAAAGGATATTTTTAAAAAATCTTTTTTTTAAAATGCCCCCACGCAGGATCGAACTACGGACCTTCAGTTTACAAGACTGACGCTCTACCACTGAGCTATACGGGCTGTTGTTAATATTAAGTTATAAATTATTTATAAATCATATACCTTTTTATTTTATAAATCAACTTGCGACATTATTTCATCACCTCTCATTTTGGTTCTGTTACATAACATCATTGATAATTTTATAGGCAAATTAAATAAACCACTTGGAAGCAATAATCGACTGATGATATTTTCCTTAAACATCATCAGTCAATTCTCTCTCTATGTGAAAATTATAATCTGAATGAATCTCTTCTTTCTTATGATCTTTGTTATGTAATAGATCTGGGAAAAAATTATTACAAATATAAATGTATGGTTGTTTGTATTGTATTTTATTTAACCATAAAATTCGTAGGGACAAAACGTTAAAATATATAAATTCAAAAGTATAAAGAATCAAACAAGAATTTCTAGTTGTTTTGAAAAAGAAAAATCATTAGGTGTTATAAACAAGTAAAAAATGTTTATGTGATTCCGTATTAGGTTCGTAATATTTGATAATTTATCACAATTAAATTTCATATGTTGTAACTAAGAATTATGTTGTAATATGTATTTTAAAACATTCTATTTTACAAACGTTTGAATGTTCCAAGAAAAATTTACTCTGAGAGGCACATTTCAACTTTATAATTTCACAAAAAGACACTTTTCACTTGCCACACACATTTTACCTGTTGAATGTCCATAACACCCTTCAAACCAACAATTCACTTACGTAACCTTTTTTGTTCTTTTACCAAAATGAATTTTTGTTTTATTGAATTAAATTCTAAAACCTACTTTGAATCTCAATCATGTTGAATCTCGATCTCTTCTGTTTTCTAATTTTTTTATGTTTCTCGCCTTAATTGATTTTTTCAGTTTTCTACTCCGTAACTCAGAAACATCTTCTCCTCCGACCGTATTTGTTTCGCGGCCGTCGTCTCTGAACCCCCATTGAACAAAGCTCTGCACATGCATCTGCTTCTTGTGAGCAACATATTTTGAGATACAAGGTTAGTTACTCGAGTTACTGTTAAAATTGTTCTCCTAGCTAAAGCTTCGATTTCAAAAGACAAGTTTGCTGGATATGAAACTAATTCCTGTCCACAAATCTTATATGATGCTTTTCATTTTTACATAGGAGACAAACAACAGAATTCTTAGCTTTCGCCGAGGTTATTTGTTGAATTTATCATCCTTGGTGTTTGATTACAAGTTAGAAAAACCTAATCACATGACCCTTGAGACCAATTTCGAAAAAGGCAAAAGCTTTGGGGTTGAATTAGAAGCTTTCATGAAATTAAGGATTGTAAATGATCATTTACAGTTTTTTAGGATTTTCGTGTAAAAAATCTGAGAAAACCAAATTAGTTGATGTGTGTGTTTGTGTTTCAAATAGGAACTCTGGATCATTAAATGGTCTTATCAGCTCAGAGAATGCAGCTCCAAGCTCCAGCAGATGATAAGAATTTATGTTTTTTTGTTTGTTGGTGGATGTTTTCATTGTGGATTGGTGTTTGGTGGATGGGTTCTTTGTGGATAAAGAGATCGTGGATTGAGGATTTATATGTTAGTTTCAACGGTTATATGGAAGCTTCGGAGAAGAGAGGTTTTGTGGTCATGGATTGAAGAGATGTGAACGGTGTAACTTTGGAGAGGAAAAGAGAGGTGTGGATAGAGGTGTGGACTTGAGAGGTGTTGTGGTCATGGATTGAACGATGTGGAGAATAGAGCTACAGAGAGAAGAAGAGAGGTATCGATAAAAAAATGTGTTGTGGTCATGGGCTGAAGAGATGTGGACAGTGGAGTTGCAGAGAACAGCGTTAAGGACAGAATAGGTGTTGGTAGCGAGAGGAGAGATGTGAAGATGTAGTGTTGAGTTGCATGGGAGCACAAATGTCTAATCAAACACTACACTCCAAAATAAGGGCTTTTTGCAGAATTGACCTGAAACTTGAAGTCAACCACAAAACTAACCTCCCTTTTTTTTGGAACTTTATTTTGCCCAATTCACCCCACAAGTTCATATAATTCACGAAAATGCCATCAAATTTTTTTTTTTTTTTGGTTTCGAAAATAACATATTTACTCTCTCACCCTCATCATCTTCAAGTAATTAC